TAAAGGTTCCGTGGTTCTCAAGCGAAATTACTTGGGAGTCACATTGACAATAAACTTTCCTGGCAGCCGCACGTGGTCTATCTGGTGCGAAGGTCACAAGGCAGCAATTAAGGCGCTTTACCCTTTACTATGCGGCAAGAGCAAGCTTTTTCTGAACAAACGGCAATTGTATATGTCTTACATCCAGCCAGTAATGACATACGCGTCCGCTGCCTGTGATTACGACTCCACTGTAATAGCGTCGGCATTTCAAGTGCGACGAAACAAATTGCTGCGTGTGATGACAAACGCGCCATGATTTGTGCGAAATGAAGCTCTCCACCCGGGCCTTCAGCTGAACCTTTTAGACGTCGTCTTCCGACGTAATGCCAGTGCCCTTTGCGCCAGGCTAGCCAGGCACACTAATTGCCTGCTGGTAAATCTGAACTTATCTACGAGACATGGATTGAGGCACGTTATCGCCTCCTACGTGACGCGCGTAAGCGCTAATTTTTTTTGTTTATTAGTGTCAAGAAATTATGACACCTTTTTGATTGGAAGCTACTTAGTTATAAGTCCGCGAACACTCCTGATTAAGAGCTCGAGAATTCTAAGTTTTTTGACTCGATCGAGAACTAGGATCTGTCATTTTTTAATAAGTAAATGTCAATGCTGCAGGTGCGTCACTTCCTAGAGCTTCAAGGGTCATAACGTGACTGCGTTTGTACAAAGCTACCTCATAAAGCTGCTACAGCAGGTTTCTACCTGCAAAATCGACTACATTATTTAAAAAAGAAGGAAGTTTTCTTAGCTCTCGCAATGGCTTATTACGTTACTAAAAAAGAAAACCTAACCCCGTGGAGTGGGCATAAAAAACACCTATACACCACTCCTTTTTATACGTAGATTAAAAGGAAAAAGAAAAAGAAGGAGGAAAATGTTTAAGCTCTCTCCCCCTCCCCACTAATTGCTTATTTTTGAAGAGGCGGAGAAGTCATTAGAAAGGAACACTTCCATTCTTTCCCTATTTTTTTTGAAAATAAAATATTATTAATAAGTACTAATAATTTGTCAATAACGATATCTAAAGCATAAGGTTGTTTAGTAAAATTGTTTTGTTTTAACAAGGTATAAATCAGGTTAGCATAATAAATAAATTTATTAATCAATTAATGCGTGTTACTTGGTAATTATGAGGAATACAGTATAAACTACAGGTGAGAGAGTAAAAATATAAATTTCGGGATACGGCTCGAGCTCCTTTTTCTATTGTAGGCCGTTTAGTATTTGGCGCAAGTTGTTTGGATGGGTCCCTATTTCTTCTACCAGGAGTTACCGACAAGACTTCGAAGGAAGTGAACTTTATGCTCTTAACGTATGGAAAGATACAGTAAAATTAACCTTTACATTTAATAAGAATATTATAATAAGTTTTATTACCATGAGGACCTATAATTGCATGATCGTTTAATAAAACTCGGAATCTGCCCCCTTACATTCATTTTCACAAAACCAAAATGGTCGATTTTTTTATCTTTTCGGAGAGCGCATATCTTTAAAGGACAGTTCACTGTTTTCATAATAATTAAGCATTACCGCCTCAAAGATGTAACGGAAGCTATGGAAGACGTAGGTTATTCATGCATACTTGTGAATGTTTATAAATATTAAATTTAGGCGGAGAAGCTTATCAAAAAATTTCATTTTGATGGAGACACGGTGCCTCTACACTCCCTGTGTGGCATATTGTCGATAAGTTTGTAAATGGCTTGAATTCTTTAAAGAAAATGCGTTATGTGACCTCAGTGATGACAGAAGACTTAGCACGTGCGTGGAATAAAATAGTAATTAACTAATTATATGGTGTGTTAAAAATAGTTTAAAACCTACATTGAACCTAGAAAGTAATAATTTGTAATGTTACTTAAAATAACAATATAAAAATTGTCTTCTTGGGTAGTTATAAACAAAAGTTAAGGCAGAAATGGTTAAGTTTTAATACATAGCTGTCCTTGCGGCCGATTGTTACTCTACCCCTGCCTTTGCTTTTCAGATTTCAGCGCGCATTCTAACCAAATTTTGTGCTAGTTATTATTTACGATCCTAATGACTACTCAAAACACAAAAACCTCCCAAAAGTATTCTCACGTAGACCTTTTATACTAATAATATTAATGATATATAAAATACCATATATTTATGCTTATAACAAAAGTTATGATGATATTAGTATTTACAGTAATAATTATTATTAACTTTATTACAGATTAAAAAGCGAATTATAACTTAAGAAAGAAAGAAAGAATTGATAATTTCTAGAAGAATTATCACTAAGCTTCTTTAAGATGTTCAAACCATTCCTTTTATTAATAAAATACTAGCATTTGAAATGACCCTTATTATTAACTCTTTTGGGGGGACTTTTATCCTTCAGCATGGGGGCAGAGGGATTATGCAGTGTTAGACCCCTTGGGTCTCCGCTGTGAGAACTTCATATATAAATATACACAAGCTCTTCTTCTCATACACCCCTGTTGGGCGCTCGGTTAGTACGCTTAGAGGAATTGCTTATTTCTTAACTACTAAAAGGTACTTGCCTAAACGGCAAAGAAGAACATATTAAACATGTTTATTATTTAGCTGTGATTTTAAAGCGCCCCGCTCTTGTTAAATAACGCAATGACTTGTTAAGGAAGTCTTCCGCACATTCAATTCACAGAGGGGATTAAACTGAGCAGCTACTAACTGTAGGTCATGCCTTTAGCAAGAAGCCAGTAATTAAAAAGTGAAATAAGAAGCTTGGCAATTTTTATTTAGGTCGCATGATTGTGCGGAGCCGCTTTTTGGTCTTAGTAACAACGCAGGGCTAGTGAAATTAATAAAATAGCGTATAGCTTCAATAACAAATAATTTACACATTGTGTAGTCACTGGCTGTCTATATAATATTTTTATTTATTTATTTAAGTTTTGATATAACAAAGTTATTAAATCTGCTACCGCTTAAATTGTTAAACTCTATTGCCTCATTGTAGAAAGAATTAAAAAGGGTGGCCCCTGTTACGAATGTAAGGTTTTCAGCAGGTCTACTTCGCGAACATGAACATATCTGTTCCTTAATTTATACCATCCTTCTTTATTAAGCTGGTATATGCTCCAGAGCCTTAATAGTACTTGCTTTATTAATATATTTTTAAAAAATATTTGGTCGTTCGTATATTAGGAAGTGTTGGGGGAGGTGGTTTAATTCAATAGTTTTTAAATTATTAGGATGTTCTTCATCTTAAGATAAACATTACATGACCGTCTGTTTAAGTATTTTAGTTTTCAACATTATAAGGTGGTTGTCTTAAAGAATCCGGAGTATGCTAGTATGTAAAGCTGAGAAGTAGGGCCATAAAACAAGTGTAACTCATAATAGACCTTGATAATGCTTCATATACAAAGAGTTTATTTTAAGTTCAATTAAAGATTCAAATGGATTTTCTATCATATAAGAGAATATAAAGCTGAAGTTAAACTCAATTTTTGAACAAGAATACTTATTATGAGGCTTCCGATTAAGTCTGCAGTCTGTAATCTGCCTGATTGCAACATAAGTGGGAGTCTGCGAAAGCGTTAAAGTTTTACTGTTCTTTTTTTAAAATTTTTTTAAGAGCATTACTTGGCATTTGAGAAGGTTTATCGTGACTTTCCACTTAAAAAACCAAAATTCAAGTACATAAACATTGTACAACCTTGATAGCCAAAGCGGTATTTTTAAGTTACTAATTTCTCTGTGTCGTCAGCGTTTTGAGCTAAGGAAACAGGAGAGAATATCGTATGTATTTAGGGGAGATAAATAAAGAGAAAAATTAAGGGCCCTGATAACTTAAGCTTATTGATCTAGAACTTCGTATGCGAATTACCTCTTTGAGACTTCAACTCAGCTTTGAATGTACCCGTGCTCATATCAATAAAAACGTTCCGAATAACAACTTTAATACTTTATCCTCAGGGAGTTGATAATTGTAGTATCCATATTTATCTCGGCCCATGAGTGCGGTGAACCTGCAAAAGTCCTTATAGATGAGATCAGCATCCGTATACCAAGTCTAACATCTCAAGCATTTAAAATTTTTGTTTTCTTTTAGCCAAGTTAACAATATCATCCCATTTTTCTTTATTTCAGGATTGTGATAGAAGAAATCCTATCTTTATTACTATCTTTATCAATGTTGTTGTTGTTAGAATCGTAATAACATTAGTAGCGCTCTTATTGTTAGTATGATTTTTACTATTACTATTATAATACTGGCATTATTATTAGTCTTGGCATTTATATTTATTGTTAATGTTAGAATTGTAATAACACTGGTAGCACTGTTATTGTTAGTATAATACTAATATTATTAGCCTTGATGTTGATAATTATTGTAAACGTTGTTATTAATACTAATATTACTGTCAGCAATTGATACTGGTATTATCATCGTAGTCATTACCGAGATTACTGTAGTTCATATTTACGTCGTCTTTAAGTATTTCGTACGGGTTTTGTGGACAAGTACTAGCGCAATGGAGGTATTAAAGGATTTAATAGTATTCCTTAGCTTAAAGGTATCTTTATTAGTTAAAAGTTTTTCATAGGAGTTTTTGTTTTTGAATTTGGAAGTTGTTCGCTTAATTCCTCGAAAGAGGCAATCAGTTTTTCCACAAACTCGGGAGTGATTTATCGGTTAGAGAATGTTCCATCTAAAGTCTCTGTTATAAAGATGTAGTTCTTCTGTTGGCCTGGATTAATATATATGTGTGTATTAGTATTTATAGCAAGCTTATAGTAAAAAGTAGAAGTGCACTGGTTGCATCTCGAAAAACACGAGGAAACAGCGCACGTCTAAAAATCGCAAGACTATTATTTACTACCTCGACTACGTTGCTTTTATACGTTACGTTCCTGTGGTTAATATTGAAATGCTGTATGAATTAAAGGGTGCGTCACTGTGCTTTACGCAATTCAATTATTAAAAAAAAATTATTTAGTTAATTTTAATGAGAAAATTAGATTTATAACAATTAAAATTAACAATGCCATCAAATTGTGAGAGGGGGAACCTTGAAGATTGTGCCTTTTCAGAACTATTAGGAGCCTTGTTAACACAGATATACAGAGCTTGCGTCCCCTATCCTGTATTTGGAATACTTTTCGTCGAGGTTATTTTGAAATTTAATATAATAAATAATTAAACTTATTTATAGTAGCCATTTTGATTACAATGATAAAATAAAATAAGTAACCTTTAAAATTTAAAAATAAATAATAAGAAACCAAATTTAAAAACTTTTTACAAGAAAAGATGTAATGTAAATATTTATAAAGTTTTAGGGTTTGGCTAGTGCGTTTTGGTTTTTTTAGTTATAGTATGTTTTAATTTTATATATTTCTTTTGTTTAACTCTGTTTGAATCCCTTTTGAAAAAGTTTTAAACGTTTTTTTTAAAATATTAGAACGCCATATATCATCTTTTCATCGAAATTTTCTTAATTCTTGTGCTTTTAAAAGTTTGGTTTGCTCCTCGCCAGAAAACAAAATCGGAAGCGGATAACTTAACAGAAGCAGTAATAACAATTATTTTGATGCTTACTGAATCACATAATTTCCAGTAAAACAATTTATTATTTAATTGAAGGAAATTGAAGAGGTTATCGAGGCTTATAAACCAGCTCCGTTGGTTAATTATAAAAAAACTCAATCTGAAAAATCTAAAGTCTTCGTATTTACTTCGTACTAACTTTTTCTTGACAAGCCACTATTTTTATTATAAATAATACTTATTTTCTTAATTTAAAATTTTACTCGCCGTAGTTATGAAGCGAGTGTACTACTTTAATCGTAAAATTTGTTTGATATAATTTTACTGCTTTATATTTTTTTTACCATTTTTAACTTTTTCATTAACCATTTAAATAAATTTAATTTTCCTATGTTTTTAATCATTTTAATCTCTTGATTATATATCATACGGACTTTTTTTGCTGCTACACTAACTTTCAAGCAGAGTAAATTTTTAACTTAGAACTATGAAAATATGTTTAAAGTTAATCTGTTTAGCGAAATTCTTTATTAATTCTAAAAATAAATTTAAATTAAATAGTAAGTAAAAAAATTAAAAAACTTTATTATAATTTGAAGAAGTGCTACTGATTGTGAAAGAGTAATATAGAAAAAATTTAATAAATTAAGAACAAGGAAAACGTCAATATAATTATTACTATAAAGTAAAAAGTGCATCTGAAGTAAATTAAAAAAAAATTATGACTATGGAGCGAACTTGAAAGTTTTTATATAAATATAATTATTAAATGTTATTTAAGAAGAATATATTGGAAAGGAACTTTGAAATTAATTAATTTTTACGGAGACGTCGCAGAGTGAAGTGATTACTTGGAAAAAAAAATAAACTTTTGTAAAGTTTTTTAGTAACACCAGAGGGAATTTATATTTGTAAACATTTATTGGAAACTTTTTACGGAAAAATATGAAATAATTAAAAATCATTGAAGTTGATTACTTTTTAATTGCATTAAATTTTTTTGGCATTTAAGTTTTTTCTATAGCTAATAAAGTATTCTATATGTTTATACAAAAGGAAGTTTCTGTATGTAATAAAAAAACATATTAGATACTTTCTTTGAGTTTTATTTATTAATTTTTGTTTTACCTATAATTACATAGCAGCAATTATAACTAATTATTAATTTATTTACTGGATTTGTTTAAATAATTTTTATTTTTTTATAAAAATACTCAAAAAATTAGAAATTTAAGTGATTTCTATACTTTAGAGTATTATTTTTAGTTGTTGATTGTGAATTTTAGAAACGTAATAGGAATTTTTGGTGTCACTATTTTTTTGAACCAATGAAAGCTAGTTGTTAGTGATTCACGTGGTAGGGCTTTACTAGAATTTTTTTTTCAATTGTATATTTGTAGCAAATTTTATTTTTTCTTTTTTTATATAATAAATCGTTAATATTTATTACATTTTAGTTTTTATTAGTAAATAAAATAATTTTTTTTTTACTGATTTTTTATATATTATTTATACTCAAATTTTTTTTTTATTTTTTTATATATTATTTATACTCAAATTTTTTTTTATTTTTCAATAATAAATTATAAAATCTTTTTTGTAAATTTTTATTTGTTAGTAATAAATTATTACTAAATTTTATTATTTTTAGTAAATATTTTTTTAATCTTTTTTATCTATAAATAATTACTAACGACATTGTAATAAATTTTTTTTAGTTAATATTAATATTTATATAACTTTTTACTTATTCTATATATAAAATTTCACTGAAATTTATTCTTTTATTTTTTTAAATTTAATAATTTATGGCTTATTACTTTTATATATTTAAATTATCACTAAATTTATTCTTTTAGTACCCATTAAATTTCAGTTTTCCGTTATATTTTAGTAAAAAATGTTTATACTTTATTCAAAAAAATATACACTAAATTTTTTTTTTAGTATTTAGTAAATGAAATATTTTTATAAATTTTTACTTTTTATATGAGTTATCTCTATTTATTATTATTTATTTATTTAAGTAAATAATAATATTTTTTATTACTATTCATATTATTTTATGTGTTATCTTAAATATATATTTGTATTTTTATAATAATATTTTTTAATAACTTTTACTTTTTTTTGTATATAAAATATCACGAAATTTATTTTTTTTACTTTTTTTATAATTATTTTTTATTTTTTATTATATATTAATTTTCACTTTATTTAATTTTTTTTATTAAAAACTTTAGCCCGCTCAGCACTGAAGTTAATTTGGACGACAAAAAGTTCATTAACGCTGGAACTTTTGACTTTTTGGGAATTATAAAAGATCCGGAAATAGAAGTTTATTTTTATAAGAAATTCAGTTTTTTCTTATAACAATATATTTTTTTTTTACTTATAAAAATATTTTATAATAATATTTTATAATATTTTTTCTTACTTTTTTATAGGAATTTTAGTTTTGCTTGTAATATTTTATTATATTCATTTACTTTTTTATAGGAATATTAGTTTTGCTTGTATATTTTTAATTATTTTTTACTTCTTATTTTTATAAGCAATTTTTTTGAAGGTAATATTTAAAAGTATATAACTTTATTTAGTTTTGCTTATAATATTAATATTTCTATTTTAACTTTTTGTTTTTTATAGGCATTTTTAATAGAAATATAATATTTTCTAACTTTTTTAACTTTTGTTTATGATAATTATTATTTTTTACTTTATATATGTCTAAGCATTTTAAGTAAAGTCAAAAAGTATATTATAACAAGATAATGTTTTTTTTAATTTTTTTTTAAAATAATATTGAAACTTTTTTAGTTTCTTATTTATTATTATTATTTTTTTCTTAAAAAGTATTATTAAATCTTATAAAGGTTATGTTTATATTATTGCTCACTCTATTTCCTTTATAGTTTTTCCCATATTTATAATTATTATAAGTATTTATTATTATTTTGAGTTCTGTCTTTACTATTTATTATAAAATATTTTGGTAAAATTGATATATCATTATAATTTTTATTAAAGTATTAGAATATTTTGTTGAAACTTTCATTATTTTTAGAAAAAGTTAAGTTTTTGTTTTCATATTATTATTGCTTCGTTATAATTTTTATATAAAATTAGGAGCATACTATTAAAGTCCTTCAAAAGTATGGTGTGGGTTCTTGCGGCCCGCGTGGCTTTTACGGGACTATCGGTAACAGTTCTTCCCTTCTTTTGCAACTTCTATAATGATATACTTTACATGAAGTGGATATTTATGCTTAAATATTATTGGTCACTTTTTATTTTATAAGAAACATAATTTGTCATATTTTAAGTTAACATTTTTATTAGCTCCATTAACGATTTTTTTGGTCGATAATTATGATTAATTTAAATATGCTATATTTGGCTATTCATTTTTAAAATTCGTGCCTTTTATTTAGGCGACTATTTATTTTCTTTAATTTTTTTTTCTAAACCTTTTTTTATTGCTAACTATTTCTTGTTTACAGAAATATTGTAAATTTTTTCCAAAACTTTATATACATATATTTTTACTTATACTATTTTTATTCTTTTATAACTTTTATAGTGTATATATGCATACTAATATTATTGTTTAAACTTAAAATATTCAGTAGTAAATTTATTAAAAGAAATTATTCTTAATAATATATTTTTATTAGAAAATGCATATAAACTTTTTATATGATACTTAAAAAAAAATTCTATAATTATTTTATTTACTTATAAACTTTATCCAATAAAAAAATGGAACGAAGACTGAATAACTTGGGTGTTTTTATAGTTACTGATGCAGTTTAGGAAGAGGCGTAGAATTTTACCCTAATTAGGCAATAGTTATGTGCCTTTTTTATTTAAAAAGAAGGCGTCATTTTTTCTTATAATAATGTAATGATTATATACTAGGCGGTTTATAATTTTAGTTGGGTTCAGTTAGCTATAAAGGCAGTTTTTTATAAATCCAAATGCTTTTAGTTTCATTAATTTTTTTCAACGTTTATTCGGCGTCAGTTGATATTCCATTTTCTTTTTGTATTTTAATTTTTAGGAAAAACGTTATTATTGGGTGACACTTTTTTTTCACAATTTTTTGTGTACTGCGTTTTGATTTAATTTTTTCATTACTTTTTTAGATGTTCATTTGATTCTTGAAAATGAACTCGCAAAGTTCTTAAACGTTGAAGAAGTTATTATTTATTCTTACGGTAATATTATAAAGAGCCTTATGTATATATTTATAGCTTTTGTAGTTTTTACTATTAAATTTTTAGAAATACATAAAATAATTATAAGTAAATTTAATTAGTTATTTACAATTAATGTATATAACTAAAACTATAAAAAAGTATTATTAATAATATTATTATAAAGATATTAATACTTTTAATTATTTATAGTAAAATCATATTTTTATTTATTAAAATAAAACTCTTAAGAAAGTATTATTAATAATAAAACATAAAAGATAATTATATTTATTAATTAGAGTAAAATCATGTATTTATTTGCATTAATAAAACTTTTTAAGAATTAATATTAATAATACAAGATATTTATTTTTTTTTATATTTATTATATATAGTAAAAGAGTAAATTTATTTAGAAAAATTACAATAATAAATGTAGTTTATAATAATGATAATTAAGTTTAAAGTTTTTAAAGTGTGTAGTAGTAATACCTTTAAATAAATAATAAAGGTTATTATTATTATATAATAATAACAATTAATAAAACTTTTAAATAAAAAAACACCTGTAAATTTACTTTATTTATAAAAATAAAATAAATATTAATTAATAAAACTTATAGATACAATGATAATTTTACTATAGTATAAACATTAATAAAACTTTTTTATTTACGGGTAATACTAATAAATATTAAGTAGTAATAATTTAATAAAAATGAAAGGTAATATTATTTATATTGCAAGTAATAATGAATTTGATGTAAATTTTATTTTATAATAATAAAAATTACTATGTAGCATAAAATTTTTTTTTACAATTGTTAAAATAAATAAATATATCACTATTAACAAAGAGGAATATCCTTTTTACTAATAATTTTATTTTATAGTATTAAATATTAATATTTAGTAGGAAAACTTTAAATAATAATAATTACTATAAATAAATATAAAGTAATAATATTATAGTATTAATATAGGAAGAAAATAATAATAAATTAATATAACTTATTTTAACTTTTTTATTTTTATAGCCATTAATAAAACTTTTATATTTAATGATTATTATTATAACAATGAAGTATAAATAATTTAGATAATTTATTTTTAATAATGATATATTAAGTAAATAAATTTTTTTTATTATAAAGTAAACCTAATATAATAATAACAAAAGGATTTGCGACCAATTCTTCTGCCATTCCGCCTTATTCTGGCCGCTCGGACATAATATTCTGGTACTCATTAAGCTCAATGAATGTTTCAATAAAAGCTATTGGTTGTTGCCTTGGAAATATTTTCGTTTTACTATAATTTAATATAATATTATACTTTTTTTTCTTATTATTATAAAAATTTCAATAATAAGCTAATTTTTTATATGTACTTCAGATAAGTTTTTCTTTACTTTAATATTTTATAATTTATTTTTTATACTGAAAATTTTTACTTTTTTATATATTTTGTAAAGTTTTACTTTTTTATTGCTTATTATATTTATTGTAAAATATATATATATTATTAGTATTTTTTGTTTATCTTTTTTTAATTATATTCATATAAATTTTTATACTTTTATACTTTAAAGGTTTTACTTTCTTTTTTTTTTATTATATCTTTTACGAAATATTATCTATTTGGAATTTTATATTATTAACTTTTATTAATATTTTTTTAGAATATATATATTTTTTTATTAATTTATTAAAAAATATATATTTTATTACTAATTCTAATTTATTACATATAGAAGTTTTACTCTTTTTTATTTTTTTATATTTTAAAATATTTTATATTAAAAACTTTTTCTATTTATAATTTTTTTGTTTTACTTTTATTCTTTTTTATATATATTTTTTAAAATAATATACTTTTTTATAATTTTTAATATTTGTTTTTTTTGTACCATAGAAAATTCTTTTGTATTATTATTATATATATATTTTATTATATTTCTTGTAAAATATTATTAATTTAGAATTTTCTTCATGATATAATTAGTTTCTTATTGTACTTTTTTTGTTTTATTATATTTTATAAAATATTATTTATTTAAAATATTTAATTTTTTGTATTTATTATAAAAAATTTACTTTTACAATTATTTTATTATAACTTTTTATTATTATTTTATTTTTTATTATTTTTTTACAAATATCATTGTAAATTTAGTATTCATTTATTTACTTTTATTCCTTATATTTTATAAAATATACTTAATAAAAGTTTTATTAAAAAATTTATTTTTTATAAGTTCTGTCTAATGTGTTTTTTGATATTTTATATTTATTTTAAAAGTTATGTGTCCTTTATGACAAAAGTTATACTTTTTTACGTATTTGTTATTTATTTAAAAGTTTTCATTAAATAATTTATTTTTTAGTAAGACATTTTTTTATATTTATTTGTATATATATATATAGTTTTGTTATATTTAGTATTTATATTTTCATCTTTTTTTTAAAGTTATACTTTTTTATAATTCTACATTATTTATTTTCTTTCTTTTTATATTTCATATTTATGTAAAGTTTAATTATTTTATATATATATTAAAATTTTTATTTATATTTATTAACCACTTATTATATTCATATTTTACTATTATATTTTTATTATTAAAGTTTTATATTAATATTTACGTGTTGCCTACTATTTATTATTAAGCCGCGTTAGTTTTATTTATTATTATTATATTATTAAGAAGTTATATTTAAATATCAACTTTTTTTTAACGTTTTAGTAATCTTATATTATTTTATTACTAATAAAAGTTTACATATTAAAAATTTTTATTAACTATTATTTATTACTGGGAAAACTTTTATTTTGTACTTTTATTTGCTTGTTGTTCACTATTTTTTAATATTTATTTAAAAAGTTTTATTTCTTTTCTTTTTAATATTTTGTTGTTTTGTTATTATTTATATATATTATTATGAAAAGTTATGATTATTTTTATTTTTTTACATTTTTTATTAAATATTTATCACATATTTAAGTATTTTAAATTTTTCTCGTGTATTTCTGATTTTTTATTACTTTCTTTTTCGTCTTTTTTTTATATTTATTATTAAAAGTTTTGTTTATTTATATTTTTCCATTATAAAAGTTTTATCACATTTTAAATATTAATATTTTTTAATGTATTCAAATTTTTTTATTCTACTTTTTCTTTGTTATAAAATTTTTTTGTTTATCTATATTTTTTGCATTTATAAATAAATCATAATTGTTATAAAATATGTTTAATTTTTTTTCTACTGTAGAAAGTTTTATTTCTTTTTCTTTTAATTTTTTATGTTTTATTATTATTTTTATCAGTTTTTTTATAAATATTTATCAATAAAAAGGTTATAATTTTTGTTACTTTGATATTACTTTTGTCTTTCAGTATTTTTTATTGTTATTATAATTTTTTATATATATATTTCTTTAGTATCGAATTTTTTAATATTTTTTAATTTTTTGGTTTATTATATTTATATATTATTATAAAAAGTTTTATTATTTTTCTATTTTATTTGCATCTCTAGTTTATTAATTTTTTTAGTTTTTACTATTTAACATTTTTGTTTATATTATTATTTTTATTTTTTATATTATACAAAGTTTTATCTAATCATATTTTTTTTCCTTTTTATTATTGAGTATTCACTTTTTTAATTAGAAGTTTTTTATTTTTCAAAAAGTTTTATTTATTATTTTTTGTTTTATTATTATATTTATATATTATATATAATGTTATATATTTATTTTTTTTACATTTTTTTAAGATTTTTTATTCTTTAAGAGTTTTATTACTTTTACATTTTAATATTTATTATTACAAAAAAGTTTCATTTATATATTTTTATATTTATTCCGTAAAAATAGTTTCTTTACCTTTTTATAATATTCATTGTTTTATTAATATTATTATATTAATATCAAAACTTTTTTTATATTTATATACATTTTTCCATTTCTTATTATTTTATCTCAATTCTACTTTTAAATATATTTGAGTTTTTTTATTTTAACAAGTTTTATTATTTTTTATTAAATTATTTTATTTAAATAATGATAAAAAATTTTTATTTATTGAATTCCACTTTTTTTTTTTTACCTTTTTTTCCTATCAGAAGTTTTTTTTTCTATGTTATACTGTATATATTTTCTTTGTGTGCTTATAATTATTTTTAATATCACTTTAATGTTTTATTATTTTTGTAATTTTTTTATTATATAAATTGTTTTATTTTTTTCAATTTTTTTATGTTTATTATAATCTATTTTTTACAATTTTATGAATATTTTATAATATTTTTCTTCATTTTTGTACTTTTTTTAGTGACGAGGGCCTCTCTTTTTCGAACCAAACTGGCTTATTAGCTGCCAAAAGTCGAGTTATTTGGTTCCGGCATAATAATATGCAGCATCTCGAAGAACTTCTAAACCAGCAAGCTCAAGAAGATCGAAAAGTTTTTTTTATAAATTAAAATATTATTAAAAAATAGAAGTTTTTATATAGAAAACTTTACTTTCTATTATTATTTTTTATTCAAGTTTGCTATGGATATATAATAATAATAATAAATATTTTCCTTTTTATGTTAAATAATATTTTCTTTTTATAAATTTATATATAAAATATTTTTTTTCAGAAATTGTAGGACGAAATCTTTATTTTTTAAAATTAATACTAAAAGTAAGATAACAGAAATATATATAATAAAAAGTTAAAAATATGTTAATAACAAAAATAACTATAAATAATATTAGAAGAAAATTAAAATAACAATAATAAAATCAGTAAAAAGTGCAAAATACAAAAATTTAATACTTTTAAAATATTTTTTTTGTTCTACTTTTATGAAAATTGAAGATTAGACGTTTTAAATATTACAAATAAATATTAAAAAATATAATATTTTTTAATTTTTTTAAAAAATGAGTTAAATAAATTATTTTCTAATAAACTAGAAAAGTTTTTATATAGAATACTTTTATTTTATAATATTTTTCTATAAAAAATATCTTTTGTTAATTTTTTTATAAGATTAAGATCAAAACTTTTATGTAATAGTATAAAAATTATTATATAATAATAACTGATAAAAATAAAAAAAATATTAAAGATTTAATAAGAAAAAAGTTTTTTCATTTTATTTTAATATATAATTATATTTTTTATTACAATTTTATAAAAGTTTCAGATGGAAAAGTTTTTATTTTTAAAAATAATTACTTAAGAAATATTTTTTTTAATTATCATTAGAAGATTTTAGGTAAAAACTTCACTTTTGTTATATTTTTATATATAAAAAATATTTTTTTTACTTTTATAAATTTTTTTAATTACTTTTCTTGTATATTTATATAGATTTTTTTTTTTTAACTTTTAATATTTGAAAGGTTTTAAGTATAAAACTTTTACTTCTTTTGTATTTTTAACACATGAAAACTATTTTTATATACTTTTTATTATATATTCTGTTTTTATAAAATATTTATTTATTTCCAGTAAAATTTTTTTTTTGTGATTACTTTTGTATATATTTAAACTCTTTTCATTACTTTTATTACACTTTATAAGTTTTTTTTATAAAAGTTTTTTTCTGTTTTAAGAATAAAACTTAACATTTTTGTTATATTTCTATATGTTTCTAAAGTTTTTTTCCTGTATGTTGTATGTTATTTATTAATATTAAATAATAAAAGTTTTTTACGAGTTGATTATAATATTATGCACGAAAAAAAAACTTTTAGTTAGTTGGAATTTATTAATAAACAAATATTATGTTTCTACTTATTTATTACTCTTTAGTGTTAAAGTTTTACATTCATTCTATTAATAGTTAATAAATTTATTTACATTTATTACTATTATTATTATTATTAACTTTTATAAATGTTTATATTTATTTTTCTTATAATAATTTATTTACTTTTTTATATGATTTTTTTTTGTTTATACATAATTTTCTTCTTCTTATCATCATATTTTATTTATTATTATTGCTATTATAAAAGTTAATGTTGGTTATTTTTTTTCCATTGGATTTTGTTTACTATATTATTTTTATTAACTTTATAATATATATTTTTAGTTTTACCATTTTATAATATATTTATAATATGTTACCACTACTATACTAGTTTATTTTTTTTATATATATATAAAAATTTGTTTACTTCATTCTAATTACTTTCTTCTTTCCACTATTTTTATAAGTTTCTATATTAAATTTTTGTTTTCTAAATAATATTTTCTTTTTATTATACATTTTTTATTTATTACTCTTCTTATATAGATTTATGTTGGTTAATTTTTTATACAATACTTTTGTTTACTTCTATCGTTATCATTTTACTTTTATTTATGATAAATTTGTTGCATTTTTATTATAATATATTTTTTATTTATTATTATAGTTGTGTTATGTATATTTTATTATTTATTATTATAACGACAATTATTGTAGAAGATTATACTTTTTCTTCATTATTAATTATCATTAATTATTATTAGAAAAGTTATTATTACTATCAAAGTTTTAGTTCCTTATTTTTTTCTATAATAATTATTCATTATTTTATATTTTATTTTAATTATTATTATATTCATAAAAGTTTTCCTTTATAATTTTTTTTTTACTATTATTTTTATTATATATTTTTTATATTTATTATATGATCATATTATTATCAAACTTTGTATTTATTATTATTATTATTAAATATCTTAAATTTAAATTATATATAACATTATTACTATATTTTATACTTCATAATATATTTATTTATAGTTTACTTACAATTATTACTATTTTTCTATTTACATTACTTTTTTATATATTTATTATCATTACAATTAAATTTTACTTATAATTATTTCTAATTTATTCATATTATTTTATAATAACTTTTACTTATTATTATTATAATAAAAAACTTTACTATATGATATATACTTTTATTAACTTGTATTATTAATAGTATTTATAGTTTACATATGATTTTTAATATTTTATAGAATTAATACTTTATTTTTTTTAATTTTTATAATTATTATAAATAAAGTTTTACTTTTTATGATTATTTCTTTTTTATATTTACTTTTACTTGTTATAATTATTACCATTAAATTTTATATTTTTACATATACTTTTAATAGTTTTTATTATTAAACTTTTGAAATTTTTGTGTTATAATAAATATATAACACTTTTATATTTATTCACCTTATAGTTTACTAAACCATTTATTGCTTTTTTGTTATAGTATATTTAATATTATTACAACTAAATTTTACTTATTGTTTTTATATATTTGTATTTAATTGTACTTATTTCCTTATTAATAAAAAAATATATAGTATATGCTACTTACTATTATTATTTTAATGTTTGTTTATATTTATTATCCTAATTATTTTTATATTTATTCTTAGAGTATTTCTATATTATATATATAATTTTTTCTATATATTTTTATATTTTTTTTATTATAAATAAAATAAGAATCCGAAAAAAGCCAAGCATATACGCCGCTTGATAGTCGTGGAGGGTCTCTATAGAAACTACGGAGATATCTGTCCTCTGCCGCAACTCGTACGATTATTATTATTCATTATAATAATAATGTTCACCTTATAGAAACTTTATCTTTTTATCATTTATATATATTTTTTATTTGAATGACTACAAGATAACTTTTACTTTTTTTATTATTTATACATATTTAGAACTGTAATTTAAAAAACTTTTACTTTGTGTTATATAAATATATTTATTGTTTTAAAAAAAACTTAGTTATTATATACATCTTATATTTTTACTTTTCTACTTATACTAAAAATTTGTTATTATTATTGAATACTTTATAAAAAAAGATATACTTTTTATTATTATAAATATATTAAACTTTTCTTATTTCCTTGTATATTTATTATAATTATTATGAAAACTTTATAGGGCGTTTTGCTTTTTATTATTATCCTGAATACTTTTTAGAAAGTTTGTTATTTTATTATTTTTATTAAACTTTTTGTATTTGCGTGTGTGTTTATTATTTTTATACTATTCTTTCGTATTTTTTTTAAGTATAAAAATTTTTTTATTAGTATTTTTATTTTATTTTTTTTTATATTCAACAGCTTCAGTTTAAAAAAAAATATAAATGCCGCATTTTCATAGACGAAAGCAATTCTTTTGGGGTTTTGGGAAAAGGCGGCCGCGGAGTTACAGAGCATTACAGTATTAATGTACTAATAATATTATTTAATAATGATTTTTACGTCTTATTATATGTTTTATTATTTTAATATCTGAGCTATTACTTCTTCTAATTATTATATTTTACTTGTTTTAATATTGATGTTTACTTTTGTTATTATAGTAATTATTATACTTTTTAATATTTTTTAATAATTATTACTTCTTTTTTTATTATTAATATATATTTCACTATTTATAATATTGATTATTTTTATTTGTTCTTAGAATAATTATACTTTTTCATTAGTTTAATAGTTTTACCTATAAATATTATCATAAAATTATACTTTTTTTATTTATTAATAATGTTTACTTATTAGTAGATAAAATAATGGCTGTTTTTTATTCATTATTAAAGTAATTAAGCTTTATACATTTATAAATAATTTTTACTTCTTCGCATTATTATGTTTTTACTTTGAAATAGTAATTTTTTTATATATAATATTTCTTTATTTATTAATAATTTATAATTATTGTTATTATATATATATTTTTACTACGTATTATTATTATTATATTTTTCCTATTTGTAATAATATTTTATATTTAACACTTTTATTTATTAATTATTTATATTTATTGTTATATAATTTACTATTTATTATTAATTGTTTTACTATTTCCAATAAGAATTTTATTATTATTATTATCATAATTACACTTTTTATTATTTGTAAATTTTTTCTACTTGTTATTATTTTTATTATATTATCACAAATATAATTTTCCTTTTTTTATTATTTATGTAATACTTTTACTTCTTGCTATCAAATTATCATGTAATAATAAATTTGCTTATTACTATAATAATAGTTTTAAATTTTTTATTATTTTCAAAATTTTTTCTTATTATGGTTATTTTTATTCTGTTCTCATCATTAAAAGTTTTGTTATTTATTTATTATTCTATTATTTATAGTTTTTATTATTTAGTATAAATTTAGTACCTATTATTGTTTATATTTATTCAATTTTATTACATTATTTATTATTATTACTTTTTCTATTATTTAATCATTTATTTAGTAAATAATTTCCACTTATTATTTTTATTATTTTATTATTAACAATATTTATTTATAATTATTTTTTAAGTATTTTACTGTTCATAATGATTTTTATATTTTTCTACTTCTTTTATTATAAAATTTATTATTGATAATTTATTTATTATAATTTTTTAGTAATGCACTATTTTCACAATATATTTTTATATTTTTTTAATTTTTATTATTTATATATATTTCGTATTAATATTCTTTACTAATTTCTATATCTTTATTATTTATATTACTGCTATTCCTTTTTTAAATTATTATTTATCAATCTTTAATAATTTTCTATACTTTATTATTGCAATATAATTATTTTACGACGTTATCATTAATAATATTTATAACATTCTCTATTTCTTTTTATTCGCTATATATTTGGTATACATAAACTTATTATTATTATTTCATTACTATTTAAAAAAATTTATATATATAATATATTATTTACTGTTTTTACAATAATATTATTATACTCATTTTTTATTTATATTATTTTAGTAATAATTATTACTTTTTTATTTTTATTATTTATTTTCATTACTACCCTTTTATGTTTTTTCATATTTATATATTAAATATTATTATTACTATTTTATGTTAAACATTTTATATTTTTTTAATATTTTTATTACTATTATTACTTTTTTTATTTTTACATATTATTTATGTATATATTAAATATTATTAATTATTTATTTATTATCGCTAATATTTATATTATTTATTATATATTTTTGTATATTATTATATTACTATTACTTTTCTTATGTTCCGTATTACTTATTATATTTATTATTATTATCATTAAGCCTGAAGACGTCGATCAGATATACGCCTCTATGGAAAATGCTTTGGCTTCTGTTGGTGGCTTCTGTGCCGGTTCTAAATTTTTAGTGGACCATCAAGTTTGTTTTTAAGATTATATAAATATAGATACTTGATTATATTGTTTTTCCTGAATTCTTATAATAATATTAATAATGAAAAGTTTTTTAATATTAATAATAAATTTTTAATTTTTAATAATTATGAAAGTATTAAAAAAAATTAATTCTAATATCTAGTAAGCAATTTTTTTATAGAAGTAATAAAGTATATAAATTTTATGTGTAAATATATTTTTAATAGAAAGAATATAAAAAGTTATTATCTATAAAGAAAAACCTATTTTATTATCATATAAGAATAAAAATAAAAATATATAAAAGTTTGTACAAGAAAATAAATCATATAAAATATTTATAAAAGTATAAATTATACAAATAAATCATATAAAAAAGCTGAGAGATAAAGAAATAAGAAAATACAAAATATATTATTATTTATAATTATAAAAGTAAAAAATATTTTTTTTGAAGATTTATTATAATTCAGTTTTATTAATATTAATAATTTAATATTTTTTCAAAAAATTTATGTAAATATTATAAAAAATTTTAAAATAAAAGTTAAACGTCAAAAAGGATTATTATATAAAAAACTAAAAAAATTATTGGAAAGTTAATAAACCTTTTAAAAAGTTTTATTATAAATAATACTCCATTATTTTTCAAAATACTTAAGTAATTGTTATTATAAAAAATAAATAAGTTAAAAGTATAAATGATTATTATAAATTTAAAATGCTTAAAAAGAATAATATCCAGAGAAAAAGTTTTTCAAGAGCTAATAACATTATATTTTAAGAAACTCGTTTAATAATTTCATTATACACAAATAAAAAAAAAAGTTAGAACCTGAAAAAAAAGTTATTTTAAAGATATAATTTTTTTTTAAAAAAATAGTTTTATTTATTATAAAAACTGCAAATGAAGTTTTAACATAGAAAACATGAAAGCGAAAACTTTTTTTAATTTATAATTAAAAGCCTTGAAAAGTTTTATTATCTCTTTATAAAATTAGAAATTTTTTATAAATAAATATAAAAAATAGAAAATATTTTGTAATAAATTTTTTTTTGTAAACAAAAAAAAATGAAAAAAAAGTTAAATATATTTTTCTCTAAGTTGGATAAGGAAAATAAATAATAATAATAAATAATTTTTTTTTCTAAGAAATACATGAAATGAAGGAATAACTAAAAAAAAAAGGTTTAATATTATTTTATTAAATCGAAATTTTACATAAAATTGGATTAAAAATAAAAAATAGTAAATATTTTTTAATAAGAAAAATATAAAATTTAGGGATTTTTTATTTTATGAAATAACTAAAATGTTTTTATATTATTTTATAAAATTTAAAATTATGTGTTATAAAAATTGAAAAAACAATAAAAATCCGATAATAAAATTTATATATAACAAACTTTTGATATATTTTATTAACTGAAAAAAAGAAATAATGATAATAATATAAAAATATACAATATTTTTATAAGTTGAAGAAATAATTTTATTTCTAAGAAAAAAACTAAAAAATTTTAACAATATTTTATAAGTTTATAAAATTTAATGAAATTACAAAAGCAATAAAATTGATAATAGAATTTTTTTATTGAAATCAAGTTTTAATATATTTTTTTTAAGTTGAAAAAGTAAAAAAAAATAGTAATAAAAAAATAAAATATTTTATTCATAAACTGAACAAATTAATATTTTACATTTAAAAGGAAACTAAAAAAGTTTTTAACATTATTTTATAAAATTTACAAATTTGTATTAAAAAAATATTAAGCAACAAAAATTTGATTATTAGCAAAAATTAGAATAATTTTTATATAATTTTATGAAGTTAAAAAAATTGATTTTAATAAAATAATAATAAATTTAATGTAATGAAAATATAAATTGAAGAACTTTTATTTTTATAATTTTAGATTACAAATACATGAAAGCAAATAAAAAATCTAATAATAAAATTTATTACTGAAAATAAAAATTATAATAAAATTTTAATATAATTATTTTTTTAAATTGGAAAAGAAAAATTAGTAGTACTAAAGAATAAGTAATAGTTATTTATAATAAAAATATAAATTGAAGAAATTAATTTTATTATATTTAAAAAAAAAAGTTTTAATATTGCTTTAGTATTAGAAATAGTTTTTTTTTATATTAAATACTATTATTATATTGAAAATTTTTTTATTAACATTGTTATAATATAATAAAAACTTATATAAATATTATATTATGCTTCAAGTAAACAAAAGGTTAATTAAGTAAAAATAGTACTATTATTTTATTATAGCTCTTAAAAACTTTGTTATATTGAAAAAAGAAACTTTACAATGGAAAAAAATAATAACTTTTTTTATTACATTCCTTATTTATTAGTACAAACTACTAAAAAAATTGTTTAAACTTTGGTTCAAAAAAAAAACTTTTAAATTTAAAAAAATTTATTATTATTATATTTTTATAAAATTTTTTTTTAAAAAAATATTAAGACAAAAAATAGTACAGTACTATTTTATTATGCACTTTTTATACTTTTATTTATAAAAAAGGAAACTTTGTGTTATTATAAAAATTAAATTTATTTATTTTTTTTATAAAGACATGAATTGCAAAAAAAAAGTTTTATTATTGCTTTTATTAATTATTAGTTATTAGAAAATAAATAATGCTGTATTATATTTATTAAACTTTTAACTGTTCATGTATGTAAAAAGAAACTTTTATAATAAAATATTTTTATTTTATTTAATGAAGAAATAAAGTTTATTTTTTATTATAACAATATTAACTTTTTTTAATTAAAATTTTAAAAAAATATTACTTCTGTCTAATAATTTTTTTTTACTTCACTTAAATATTAAATTTAAAAAAGAATTAAATTTATTTATTTATGCATGTTTTTTTACTATTAAATAATTTTTATTATAACTTTATATATTTAGTTACTTTTCTTATACGCAAAGTAAATAAGCATTAATTATTATTTATAAAAAACTTTATTTTATTTATTTTATGTATTTATATTTTTTTAACTTTTATATTTAACTATTTTTTAATAGTCACAAAGTAACAAAGAGTTATTATTATTAATGAAAACTTTTTGTACATATTATTTTATTTATTATACTTTCATATACTTTTTTATATTTATTTTTATATATATTACGGAGTAAATAAGCATTTTTTATTATAGATAATAACTTTTTATGTTGATATTATTCCTTTATTTATTTTTTATATATTTTATATATATATTAACGAAGTTAACAAACCAAAAATATAATATTTAAAAACATTTTTTGTTATATTATTTTTTATTATAAATATGTATTTATTTATTACTACATTATATTATAACTTTTTATGTATTTTATTTTACAAAGCAAAGAAACAATTGTAATTATTATTCTGGAAACCATATTAACTTTTACTATACCTTTTTATTTTTATAATAATAATTTTAAATTTTCTATTAAATTCTCTATTATATAATTTATTTTTTCAACAATATTTATCATTATCTTTAGATTTTTATTATTAACTTTTAATTTATTATTATAATAAAATTATATTTATTATTACTTTGAGATTTTTTTTGTTTGAATAATTTTTATTATAACTATATTTATTATTACGTTTAGATGGACAGTCCTATATATATTATTTACTTTTAGATTTTTATTGCTGATATTAGTTTTTTTTATATTTTTTTAAAAACATATATATTATTTCTATTATTATACTTATCGTTTAATTATTGATACTATATTATTATTTATAAAAAATATTTCTTTTTACTTTTAGACTATTTTTTTTTATTTATTGTTATTATATTAATAAATATATATTTCTTAATACTTTTAGATTTTTAAAACTGTTGAACTTATTTTTATTATAATAAATATTATAAAAAAATATATATATTTTGTTATTTTTTATCATAATTTTATGTAAAAAATTTATTAATATTACTTTCGATTTATTTTTACATATAATAAAATATATTGTAGTTACTTTTATTATTGCTGAATTTTATTTTTCTTATATTTTTATTATTAAAAAATAATTTATTATTACTTTTAGTTTTTTACTTTAATTTTACTCATTTTTATTATCTTATTTTTTAATTTTTTTATTTAATTTATTTTTTTATATTATTATTACTTTTTGAACTTTTTTAATTGAGTTATTGTATTATTATCTTTTCTAAGAATAATACCATTTTATTATGTTGTTTTTTTTTACATTCTTATTTCATTTTTATTCTGTCTTTCTAAAAATTATTTATTATTTCTTTCAAATAATATTTTTTCATATTATATTTTTTTTCTAGAGACTTCAAGGAAAAGGCTATTGTTTTTCAGCTTCGCTTCCTCCTATCAATGCGGAGGCGGCTCGCTTGGCTTTGCAAAAGTTACAAAAAGATTCAAAACTTTTAAACAATCTAAAAGAAAATGTAATTAATTTTTATTATATAAAAATAAAATATTTTTTTTAATAATAAATAATTAATAACTAAAAGGTTTTAAAATTCTTATTTTTTATATTTGCTTAAATTTAATACATTTGTGTAGACTTGAAAGTAAGCAAGTGATTAGAATTAAAAAAATTTGTTAAAGCTTTTTATATAAAAAAGTGAAATAGTGAAGAAAAGTTTATTTTATTATTTAACTTTTTATACTAATAAAAAATAATACACAAATTGCTTAAAAGTTATTATAACTTTTTAGAAATTAAAGAAAACTTTAAAAAATTTATAAAATTGTTGCGTATTAAAAATGTTAATATAATTTTTTCTAAAGAAAAAGTGCAAAGGAAATTATTTATTTTTTATAATAATAATAATAAAATTCATATAAATAAATGTTGCTTAAAAAAAACGTTAATAATTTTTATTAATTTCGAGAAATTTACGAACTTTTCTACAGAAAATATCGATTTTTTTATTAATAGTAATAGTCTATAAGGAATTATTTATATTTTACAATAATTAAAAAATTATAAGTTGCTTATAAAAAGCCTTTTTCCAAATTAATAGAAATTATTTAAAATTCATATAGAAACTATTTCTTTAGTTATTAGTAGTAAAAGTTTATAAGCAAATTTTCAATACTTTTTAATAATTAAAAGATATATACTTATATAAATTTGGCTGTTGCATTTCAAGAGCATTTATAATTTTTAAATTAACATTCCAAAATTTTATTAACTAACTAATTATGTTATAAAAAATATTATATTACTTTATTAATAGTAAATATAAATAAGTAAACTATCAATACTTTAATACCTAAAAAAACTACAAAAATTTATAATCTAAGTTTTACGAAAAGGCAAGTAAACCTTTTTTAATTTTAAAAGTTTTGAAATTTTTAAACACTAAATTATGTTATAAAAAAATTATTTTTTTTATTAATGGTGAAAGTGAATTAGCAAACTCTTAATACTATATTATGATTACTTTTTTAACGAAATTTTATATGAAAGAATAAAATTATTTAAATTTTATAATTTTGCTTTTTTTTTTTTTAACACGCGCATTTCTTAATGATAATAAATTTAAAATTATAAAAAATAAAGTAAAAGTAATAACTTTTGAGAATTAAGAGTTAACTACTTTTTAATCTTTTGGAAATTTTCTACTCTTTATGTATATGAATTTCTTCTTTCATATTATTATTATTAAGCCATCAGCTAAAGAAAAAATTAGTTTGAAAATATTTTTTAACAATTTACATTTATAATTAAATTAATTTTAAATTTCATATAAAATAATATATTTAGTTCCTAATTATAATAATATTAATTATTTTTTATAAATAGTAAGAAGTGTTTATTTGGTGCTCATATAAAATAATACTGATACCTTAAAAAATAATTTGGTTTTCAAAAAGATTATAGTGGGAATTAGATCTGCCATTATCACTTGTCATAAAATATTTTTTTTATAAAATATAAAGAAATGGTTTATTTAATACATAATTTAAAATTATTTTAATTCATAAAAAAATAATTTAGTTTTTAAATAGGATTATGGTGGTAATTAGATCTGCCGTTGTCAAGTTAAGTAGAATAATTTATAACAACATTTAAAGAAAAAGTGTTTGTTTGGTACACAGTAATTTTTTTAAAAAAAGTAATATAGTTATTTAAAAAGATAATAGTAAAATTTGGTGTTTTTTTGATACATAAATAAAAATAATACTGGCTTCTTTAAAAAAATAAATTAATTATCAAAAAAGGTTATAAGAAAATTGGATTTGCCATCTGTTTAAGTAAAGTAATTTATTTATAAAATTTAAAAGAGTGTTTATTTGGCACACAATTCATAAGAATACTGATATTTTTAAAATATAATTAACTTTTGAAAATAATTTAGTTTTTAATAAGTTTACAGTAAAATTCAAATCTGCCTTTTTCAATATAAATAAAATTTTATAGTGTGCATTGGTTAATTTATTGGGTTCAACCTTCATTAAACCTCACTAATTGCTATCAAAAATTGTCCAAGTTGGCTCCCAATCTTTGTTTCGTAGAGATTTTGGCCGTTTAAGAGTTAAGCTGGTATTCTTTATGGTTAAGCGGTTTTTAAAATATTTAAATTTATTTTTTAAATTTTAAAAAATTAATAAATTAAGAAATTTTTTCTTTTTATTTTTAAAAATATTTATAAACTTTCTATTAAACTTTATTGTTGTAAAAATTATTATAAAGTAAATTATTTTATAACAAGTTTTTTTTATTTCCTTATAAATTAAGAAATTTTTTAGATAAAAAAAATTCTACTATAGAGATTTATAAACTTAGGGCAACTATGCAAAATCAAAAAAAATTGACTTACTTTCTTAATACTAAAATATTATAATTAAAAAAAAAGTTGAAATCTTTTAAGTGAATTTTAAGTACATTCTCTTTTCTGATTTATTTTTTAAATCATTATTAGTTCTTGAAAGTGTTTTATTTTTCGCAACTACTAATCATTTGGTTATTATAAAGATTAAATTTATATTAGATTTCAAAAAAGTATTTTTTAAGCACATATGCTTTTCGATTTTTAATAACTTTATATATTTTCATTAATAATTTAAAATGAATTATAATATTGAATGTTTATTATCTTCGTCATAACGAAATAAGTAAGTTCTTGAACTCAATTAAATTTTAAAATAAAAAGTTTTTTACTTGATATTTTATTTTAACTTTCTTTACTATTTATATTAATAGCTAAATAAAAAGGTTTATATTAATGTCGTAAAGAAATAAATTTTTAGATCCAGCAGAAATTTTATTTCTTGGAGAACATTTAAATTTAATAGAGAAAAAAATTTATCCCTTACGTTTTTATTATAAAAACCAAAGATTAAATTTTAAGATCCACCAAAAATAAATTTATTTAAAAAAAAGTAATATTGTCATCGGAAAATTTTTTTTAAATTTTAGGGTCCAAAATTAAATTCTTTTAAAAAAAAAAGAAAGTTTTTATTACGTAATACCTATCAAAATTTTCTGCTATTAGTCCAATTAATAACAAAAAATTTCAAAATTACATTTTAAGATTCTCCAAAAAAAAAATTCCTAAAGATCGTAAAAATTTTATTAAGAAAAAAGTTATTTACTAAATTATTTATTCTATAAACTTCTATTGAAATTTTGATTTTAGTTAACTAAATAAATTTTTATTACCAGCGGAAAAAAAAGCTAAAATTTAATTTTTAGATCCACCAAAAATTAATTATCGAAAAAAAAAATCAAATTTAATTTTAAAATCCACCAAAGATTATTTTTTATAACATATTTTATAAAGAATTTTTTTCTTAATATTTTATTATAAACTTCCTTAGAGTTGCTAATTAAAAAACATTTTGTTAACATCGTAAAGAAAATTTTAGATTTTTTAAAAAAATGAATTTCTATAAAACTCAATTAAATTTTATATAAATTAAGTTTATTACTTAATATTTCATTATAAACTTCTATAATAATTTTTATTTTGGTTAACTAAAATGAATACATTTTATTATCGGAAAAAAAATTAAAATTTAATTTTAAGTACCACCAAAAATTAACTTCTTTTAAGGATTCATTTAAATTTTATTAAGAAAAAAGTTTTTTTACATAATATTTTATTATAAACTACTCTACTTATGTTTTTACATCGAGTAAAAACAAATTAATAATTAATTTTTAGATCCACCAAAAAAAATTTTTTTTTAAAGTTCCTTTAGATTAAATTAAAAATAATTTTTTTTTACTTCTTTACTAATTTTCCAATTGTTAACTAAAAAAAATTAAGAAATCCGTTTAATATAGAAAAAGTGAATATTTATTTACCATAAAAGTTGTACAAATTGTTGAAATCTAATAATAATTTTATATTAAAAAAAACTGAAAACAAAAAGGTTTTATGTAAAAGTTCCAAGTCATAATAAAGTAGTAAATATAAAATTAAAAAAGTTTATTTGAAAATTCTCTTATCAGAAAAAATCCAAATGTTTTTGAAATTTTATGGTTTTTTAAAAAAAACTTAATTGCTTCGTCTTAATGAGTAAAAAATAGATTATAAGATTATATAATTATATAGTCGAAGAAATTTATTTGTTTTATGTCCAACGCCAAAAAGATATAAACGCCAGATCAGCGCCAGCGATTTTTTTTAAAAAAAAAAGGCACATTATTATAATAATAATAATGATAAACTTTAATATTCAATTAATAAAATAATCCTTAAAAAAAATTACATTTTATTACTCTTTATTATTTGAGGCTGATTTAATAATTTTTTTTGCGGTTATAAAAATATAAAACAAAATTTTATTATTATTATAATTATTAATGATTATTATTACTCTGTTTTGCGTTGCGAAAAGTTAATTTCGTTAACCTATTAAAACTTTTTTTTTTAAATTAATTGTAATTTTAAATGACAATTTATTTTTTCTTTATTGAGATTACATTTCTATTATTTAGAAAAAAGTTCATTGTTTTTTATTTTTCTTAAAAGGTTGATTTTCTTTGGAAGGAATTACTATCCTTCCGCATGAAACTTCATATTTGTGGGGTACTTTTAAAAATTTAGAAATCTAATTAATCTGATTGCAGCGTTATACGTAGTATAGACAGATTAGCCCAATTATTCATCTTCGTCTTCCAGAATCTGCAACAACACGCGAAGAAAAAAAACAAATTCTTCAAAGTGTTGTTGATTTTTGTTATAATAACGGCGTTTTGCTGGTTTATTTTTATTAATTTATTTTAATAACTGAAAACATTATTTTTTTTAATTAAAATTTATACAGAATCAAATTAACTAATTTATTGTTAATTTTTTATTGTTATTATTTTTTTCAAAAAATCACAACTTTTAAAGGTAATGCCGGAGTATATTGAATCTGCAGAAAAGCATCTTCCCGAGCCGAGCATTCGAATCACCGTTTCTTCAAAACATACTAAAGATGTATTATTAGTTTTTAAATCAAGGAACTTTTGAAAATTTAATTAATTTTTAATAATTTCCTTTTTTTATATAGTGATACGTTTAATTATGTAATTTCTTTTTTAAGCGAAAAACTAATTATTATAATTAGCAGTAATGGCAAAGTTTATCCGCACATTTTGGTTTAAAATTTACTAGAAAAGTTTGTTTGAAGTAAATCTAAGGAATTTTTTATTATTCAAATTTTAACGTTTACTTGTTTCTTCATTATTGCGAGCGTCTGATTATTAATTTTTATATAAATAAAAAAAAAAGAAAGTGTTATAATTTGCGGTAATCGCGGAGGTCACGCGCTCATTTTGGTTAAAATTTTACTTAATTATTCTTTGTAGTAAGCAAAAAAAAATTAAAAACTTTTAAGGCTTAATTTAAAGTTTCTTATTTTTATTTATTTTATCTCAAAAGGTTGTCAACATAAATTACTGCTTTGATACATTTTTTTAATAATTTAAGGTTTAAAGAGGGATACAGGTGGTTTGAAAATTTAAGTTTTTTGTCTAGAAATAAATATAAAGTTAAACAATTTCTTTTAAAAATCACTGATATTGTAAATTAATTTAAAATTCAAAAAAAATATTATCTGAGGAACTTTACGGAATGATTATATTTTTAATTTACTTTGCGGGTTGTTTTACTACATTTTCACTTGTGAAGCGACTTTTTGTAGAAAAGTGATTAAATTATAGTGATAACTATGCCTGGCTATCTTTTTTTAAATTGTATAATTTTAAATTACAACTATTTTATAAATTTTAAATACTTCTAACTGCTACACAATACACATTTTTTGCATCTTTGCATCAGCATTTTTTTTTTCTTAAAATATCATTATAACAACTTGAAAAACAAATAATTTTTAGAACAAGTAATTTAGAACAAGTAATAATCATATTTTAATTAAATCAAATCTATGCTCGGCGTGAATGACTTATTCATGCAAGCAATAGCAAGAATTTAATTTTGATTCAAAATAAAATAATAAATCTTTTATAATCCATAAAATAATGTTACAAATTAGTAGAACAGAAATTATATATACCCCTGTACGCCTTTAGATTTAATTAACGCTATAAAAATTTGTCCCAAATTTATTAATTTTTATCAATCACTTATAATTATCCATGTATTTTGTTACTAGAAATATAAGTATATTTTTACTAGTTTTGTACTTTTTTGATATTTTTTAAAAAAATCTCAATCATAATTTAATTTTCCAGCCGAGGTTTCTATTTTAAAATTCACTTTTTAGTTAAAAGAAAGATAATAGTTTATTGAAAATGAATTCACAGTAAAAGTTTTTTTTTTATTTTGCTCAACGTTTTTATCCTTTACCAAATTAACTCTTTTATTTAAGGAATTAAGAAAAGTAGCCTGCACGGTTAATGAAGCTTCCCTTTTCGCCCTCGGTTAATTTAGACAATTATATTTTCCAATAAAAAATAATAAAAATTAATTTTTTTAATTGAAATATCAATTATAATATTAGTATTCCCCTTTATATAACTAATTTGCTATATAAAATACACTTATTGACTCGGGGGATTTAATGGAAAACTATATTTTATATTTTAGTTTTATTGTCTAAATACTCGTGAGGCACGCCAACTTTAAGTCCACACTTAAACTTCATTATACTATTTCTCATAACACATATTAAAATGCTGTGTTTTCTGCTGGAAGCCACCTTCTGGGCTTCAAAAATAGATGCTTAGCTCTTTCTCAGCTTGCTTACAATATACTGAAGTAAATTTGAAGGAGATAAACTTTTAAACTCAAAAAATATATATCTTTGAGGCACATTTTACTTGGGCATCCAGACTAATTTTGGATCTCTAAATTTATTACTAACTACTCTACGAGAAGTCAAGTTATTTGACATCAAATAATTTTTTTGTTGGGAAGTACAAACTTCAGGAAAGTAATACTATTATTATAAGCAGGAAGCTTTTATAAAGAAAATAACTTTAATTTTTTTAAATGTTTAACTTACTATAGTGACATCCATTTGTAATATATAAAACCTATTTTTTGATCTAGTTTATATTTATTAAAAGTTGGTGTAATTTAAGCCTGCGATTGAACATAGAGATTTAACTTGAGTGCGTCAATACTCCTACATCTTAAATGTAAACATAATTTGTGTCTCCGAGTTATACATCACACCGGGAGCTTACTTCACATCTTTCTTATAAGATATCAACTCGAAGGGGACGAGCGTCATCTTCCTCGAGGTTTAGGAAAGTGATAGTTAAAAACTTATAAAAAAAAAAATAATAATACTATTACTAGAAGTTGCATAAAACACTTTTTTATTACATATAACTTTGCTTAATTTTTGCTTTTTTAGTTTTATTAACGTATCTCCTGGCGTGGTCGACGCAGTGATAGCGCATATTAGTTTCAAGCTTGTATTAAAACAAAAACATTCTTTTATTCATAAAGACTCTTCCGATGCTTCACCTAATTAACAAATTCAAATACTAGCTCTCGGTCAGATAATCATATATATTTTTTACCCGTAACGAGGGCTTTCAAAACAGGCAACTGCAGCATATAAGCAATATGGGCGTTTACAAAAAGTGACGACCACAGCGCGAGCGTAGTTTTGAGAAAATCAGCAAATTTGTGCTAATTGGTAAAGGAGGCCAAAAATAGTCTTCGCGAATGTACCCTTTCCGTCGCTTAGTTCGAGAAGAACTGGTGGATGATCGCACGGCAGTGCGTTGAGCGCTTCGATCGCCGTTTAGAAACATATATTTTTAGTATGGCGACATCTAGTACGCTCATAATGCCTGTCGCCGTTAAGTGCATTAGGTGTTGTGTACTAAAGATGCATAGACCCGCATTCCTCAGCGCAGGCCTCGAAGACGCGGCCATTCGGGTTATCGAACCGGCTGTTTCTTGAAAGGCGGTTGCAGTTTACAATTACACGGTAGTAGCTTCCGCAGAGACTTAGACAGCGAATACAGATACGGGTACCTAGTCTGCCTAGCATATGGAAATTCCCACTGCCTTGAGACCTTTCAAAGCGGGTAGATATATCGGATGATAAATGGTTCGTCCATTTAAGACAGTTATACCGCCGAGCGCATGAAATCCAGTCTTGGCGGTACGTTGCAAAGTTTTACAGTTTAATTGTAACGTTAGGAAAAAGAGAGGTCTTGTTTATTCCGCACGGAATAGTCATCGACTTTTGCTGCTCGTATTTTGATCCAAACACCTTTCGTGTTCTATAATTCTAGCCCTTTCATAGTTTTGTGCATGGTGAACAGAAGCGCCGTTAAAATCGCTAACAGTAGTTATGAAAACTATAGGGGTTTTGATTGAACCTGAACAAGTTAAGGAAGATTAAGAAGTTCTCGAAGTAATGGTATTGTGTGGAGCGGGCATTGACTGTGTTCGTTGTCTGCTCGCCGCTGGCTCCTGCGAATAGTATATGCAGCCGCAATAATCAACGGAGTGAGCCTCGCCACAATTTGCCGTGTTGCTAAAACTTTCCGAGTTTTTATAAATTGGGTTGTTAAGTGATCCTCTCCACATTTGACATATCGCGAGGCCGCAAACAGAAACTTTCAAAGACCTGGCAGCGGTGGCTTTATCTGGCGCAGATACCTTTATGTAATCCCTCCACTTTAACCTGAAGACTGTTAACGATCACACCTCTGTACGCGCACCATTGGTAAAGGTCGCTTCACGGGTATATCGTCGACGTGTTCTTCGTGTGCATTCTTGCCACAGGAAGAGCTGAGATACTTGCGTGCGCAAGTCTCCCCCGACGTATTAAACGTCGAGATCGCAATGGAAACCGCTTAGTAAGATCTTTGAAGGCTTGGCTTTTTTAAATAATTAACAGGAAAAACGGTGTAGCGCTTCAACACGAATAAGCGATGTGATGACGCAACATTAATCTGCGATTGCCAAAAATATTTTTGCTCCTTGACGTGCCCCTGGATTTTCAGAATTCGGGCGCAGGTGACCTACAGAAATTTTAAAAAGTAACTCATTTGTTTTAAGCAGAGAACAACGGGTGTACTCTTTATTTCGCTTCAGAAAAGATGCAACAGGCGGAAATATATCCTTCTAAGTTTATACCGATTAAGTTTAGAATGACCTACACTGTTGACTTTTTATTCCTCTTTTTAGTAGAGGCTGAGATACGAATGGTCACCAGCCTCAAAAGTTAAGTACTTTCTGGACTCAGCCTTCCATCGCGCTTTTTAGAAGAGATGATACCAAAAAAAAAGTTGACTTTTATTGGTCTTGAACTAGTAAAATTTATTAAACAAGAAATTAGTCCTCTTTACTCAAGCTTAGTGAAAGCTAACTTAGAATAGTATATTAGCAATGTTTCAAGTTTTTTAGGTAAATTATTACAAAAAAGCTAATAAAACTCCTTGTTTCTAGACACTATACTTTTTTAGAAAAACAACTCGAAGTTGAGCAATTGTGTGGTAGAAATAATAAACTTATATACTATATCAGTTAAATATATATTAGTTTCAGCTTCTAATTCTCCCTTTCTTTCTATAAATTCAGGCACGCAGCTGATTAACAGTATCCTAGTTGTAAATACTAAACCTTCTGGGATTTAATAACGCTTTGACATATTATAATTATGCTTCTTTATATTTTTAAGCTGTCCCTTATATATATGTGTGTAATTTCAACTTGTTAACGTTTAGTAATCCGTAACAATTAAATTCCAAGAAACACTTTTAAACCAATTTTTTTAATTGAAATCGGCTAGAGCTTTCTTTTTTTTAAAAAAATGTTATTTGAATTAAACTGTTACGGAAAATTAACCTATTTAAGTTTTTTACTTGGGCACAATATACAGCTCAAGGAATCTTACTTTTCATCAGTTTATGCAAAGTTGTAATTTTTTATACCTGCTTTTAGCTTTTTTTCGCTAAATAGCTTGACTTTTGTAAATATACACCGTATTATTACTTGAACTTAAATGAGTAAGAGAAGTTGTACTTGTTTAAAACTAGAAATAAGGTGAGCGTTAAATTTTCTTTTAAAATCAAAAGTCATCTCTCTATAAATATAGAAATACTTATTAATAGTCAAGATATTAATAAATCTAAGAATAAGCGAGTTTTATTCTCATTCAAACCTAAGCTATGGAACTAGTAAAAAGATTGTGCTAGCTGTCCTTTCACTTAAACGTCACCCTCTTTGTAAGGCACCCTGAGACTATTCATATATAAGTAGGAAAAAGGCCTATTAAACATAATTAGCAAAGGGGCTAATTCACATTTTAAATAGTCTTAACCCAAATACGTGTAAAGCTTTAATAAAGAACAAGTGACGAAAAGCTTTTTATAGATATGTAAAAGGCATATATATTAATTTAAAATTTCTAATACAAGAACTCAAGTTAGAAACTACTTTTGCTTGCCAGGGATCAAAATATTATTACAAATAAGATTCTTAAAGTAAAAATGTAACCATCAATTTTGATTATTTTTAAATAAATTCTGGCTAAATTCCTTTTTTAGTAGCTTCATATTGTTGAAAATATCTTAATAAATATTTTAACTTTGAAAACTTAAATTGTAACCAGTATTTTTTTAATTACTCGAGAGGTATTATATTAAAGTTTGAATTACACTTATAAATTACTTAAAGAGATAAAAACCTCATAAGCTATCTGGCATACACAAAGTGGAGTAATATTTAAAGCTCTACTATTCACTTATTTAATAAATTTTTAAATGATGTTATTTTACCTTAAGAGAAATAATATATATCTACTATATCAGTAATAACGGGAAGAGGAGAAAAAAAAAAGAAGCTGCACCTTATAAACTATCAAACTTAAGATTATATGAGTATTGAATCAACTACATGCCCGACCTAAATGTTATAATAATGACTGAATCTATAAAAACGAAATGAATAAAAAAGCAAAGTCTCAGACAACATTACTATATATTTATTGAGCCCAAAAATATAACAGGCTAAGAGAGGTAACTACTGCCCCCACGATTCCGCTAATTTACTCGCTGGCTCTGGTGCAAAAACGTCAGACGGGCTATCTATTCTAGCCCAGTCGTCTTCCCCAAGCTGAGAAGTATCGGCTGCAGTCAAAACGGGCGGCGGTACAAAACCTGCAGAAGCTTCTTGATTTATTTCTTTTCCGACTTCTTCACGTTCAATTTCTGTAGGGCTGCGATAAAAGTATAAATCGGGCATAACATCCCAATCTATATCACGTGGAATTATTCCTCGGAATCTTAAAACTTCTCGAGCCAAAAGCCAAAGAATAAGGCCGACAGAGAGGGTCGACTTGGTGTTACAGGGTATGACTATATCAACAAACTTTACATAAGAGGATGTGTTGCACAGCGCAATAGTAGGTATATTAGAATAGGATGACTCTATTAAAGCTTGCCGATCGGTGTGTGTGTCGCATATAATTATTAATCTCGGTTCTTTAAACTGTGACGTAATTTGATTAGTAAAGGTCCCCGGAGTAAAACGTCCAGCTATGGAGGCCGCTCCGGTATGAGAGGCAAATTTAAGAAGGCCCCTTTGCGAATTATTCGTTGATCCAATTATGCACACATCAGCGGGATTATCGATGGCCACAATTGCGCGAGCGGCAAAAAGAATTTTCTCCCAAGTTTTTTGTAAATTTATTATATGCAAACCTGTATAAAGGTAACAACAGTACAAGTTTATAAAATGAGTTAGTAATCCTGAGACAGAGCAGCATATCAAAAATTACCTGAAGGATTCCTTTTATAAACGTAAGACTCCATCTGGAAACCACAAATCTGGTCGCATAAGTGAATGTTAGCCTTCAGCATTTTATAAAGATCATCCTCATTAAGTGAGAGAACCTCCAAACCCCCAGACATGATTTCTAAAAGCAACAAAATTTGACTTCTGATTATATAATAATATTTAAAAAAAAATAAAACGAACGTTAACACCCGAGGCGAAAAAGTAAAAAGTAGGTAAACGGAAAAAAAATTGACACGCCCGTCTAAAAAATATTTTACACATGCATCTTTTCCTAAGTTTGTAATCCCTCGTGCCTCTTGTAACCCTCGACAAGTTGACTACCATAAATTTAAAAACTAACACTGGTATTAAGTTATATCAAATTTTTATTCATATTATTTAATTGATATTAACTCAATTGAAATCTTTAAATTTTTTTTAACTGCCTTACAAATTTCATTTGTATTGCTGTATATCAATTCCGATTGAAAATTGTTAACTAGGACATTAACACGTGACCTATTCTCTGTTTTTTTAATCACAATTGAATCTGTGCGAAGCATAATTTTTTAATTCAGACACTATTTAAAAAACTTAGTAGAATTGAACGAATAATTTTCTTTAAATGGAAGATTTAAGTATTATCAATAAACTTGAAGATATAAGTTCAGTTTCTTCACAATGTGAAAATTTGTTACCAACTTTCGGTACTTGTATAGAGAAAAATTTGGGTACAGCGCCAATTCCTATAACCGAAAGCGATTCCAGTTATGAAAGAAATTCAATATATTCTTCTTGTAACGGTGAAAACTCTACTGTTGATGCTCTTATGGAAGATTTCATTCCTGAAAATATTTACAAAGGAACTACTGCTGTAGAATTTGAAGCAAATTTGAGAATTGCGCAATCCGAACCGCTTGATAACGAAGATAATTTTGATGTCGTTGAGAATTGTTTTCAAGTTGAAGAAAGCGAAACTTCAAGCGATGAAAGTTTCGTAGATTCACTTGACTTTCAATCTATGGAATCCTTATGTTTTGAAGAAATTGATTCTTATAATAATTCTTCTTTCACTCCTGTAAAGACTAAGAATGAAACTTCTTTAGACGTATTATTTATTATTTACAATTCTTTGGTTATACATATGCACTGCTTTATAATTTTAGGATTTAAGCTTACCCGAGCCAATTGTAATTGAAGTTCCTGAGAATGCTGAATTAAAAGAGTTAGGTCAAATTTTAAGTATAGTTAAAGAAAATATTGTGGTTCAGAGCTTCAGCAAGATCCCCATTTTGGATGTGGACACCATACTTTTTCTTAGAGATAAAATTCCTATAGGGAAGGTAAGTTGCTACTAATTTATTACTTTCTTGCTATTGTTATTTATTTTTTCAGATTTTTGATGTCTTTGGGCCCGTGGATCTTCCTTTCTATCTTTTAAGGGTAAATAGAGAAAAACAATCTATAGATTTTGAAACTTTGGAAAAAAAAGTATATACTTTATAATACTTACATATTTACGAAACAATTGTTTTTAAGCTCGCAGCCCACGTAGATCCAATTTTTGTCTACTTTGTAGCAAATTCTCCACAGTTGACATCTTTTGTATTTTCAGAGCAACTAAAAAACTTTAAAGGTTCCGATGCTTCTTGGTATCATGATGAAGAACCTCCAGAAGACGTATTTTTTTATTTAATAATATAATAAAGATAAATCCTTTTTATAAATTAAAAAATACTTACATCAGAATTTTTATGTTTTTGGAATTATTTTCTTTTTATAACTGCCTTAACGAATATATTTTTTAAAAAAAATTTATTATAAATATTAGATTTTAATATTGGAGAATTACTTTTAGATTTAAATTAGGCTAGCATTAATATCTATAAGGAAGCTTATTATTTATGTGTTTTATATCTATTAATCCTTTACTTGTAAATAAATTCTTTTTTAAAGAAATATTTTTTTATAAAGTTTTATTTTTTAAATATATATTTCTTTTTTTTAATTTTTAAGGCTTTTAAGAATAATTTATTAAAATTTCGTTTTTTAGGTTAAAGTGTATTTTTAAGTTCATTTATTAAGAGTAATAAAGTCTGATGATTTTTAAAAAAGTGAACTATTTAATTTTTGTGAAAGTTAAAAGAATTATTATTTTTTTTAAATTTTATTTTAACTTATTTTTGGTGATTTAATAGTTTCGCAATTTTTTATTACAATTTTTAAATTTTATACAAAATTTCCTTATTTTTTGACTTTTATTTATTTTTGAAACTAGCTTATACACCTTTTTGGTAATCCCTATTTAACGTATTATATCATTATATATAGATATATTGTAAGCTATTACTGTTTTATATTCATTGCGAAACACTTTTTATTATCTAGTTAATTTTTACTTTTAAAAAAATAAAATTTTAATTATAGTTAATTAAAAATCTTTGTTTATTAAAATTAGAATTCCATTTCTTTAATTGATTCAGGTGCACATTATTTTTACCCTTAATACTTTTTATTATTTATTCTAATTTTCTTTCACAAAGGTTATCGAATTTTCTGATGACGAAAAGGAGCGTTTAGCTAAAAAAGAGAAGTTAAAGTTATTAATTGCTATTATTATATAAATCTAATTTTAATTATATAACTTTTTTAGAAAGAAATTTGAGAAAAAAATAGATACCGGTGGATCCCTAGAAAAAGATCACAAATATAAAGATCTCGATACCCCTCATTGCCAAAATTCTTACACCACTTTACAATCTTCCAACGCACACGGCCATTATAGCCATTCTCGTCTTCCGGCGCAGCAGCAGCACAGCGAAGTTTATGATACACGTCCGCGTTGTGGTCCTCCCCCGCAGTTGCCTGCATTTCCGTCTCCTCAGTGGAATCCGCAGTCGATCCCCTTATTTCAGTTTTACCAACATAATTATTTTGGGGTCCAATCGTTGCCCTTCCCCCCAAAATTATCGGTTCAGAATCCGCCATTTTGCGCCTACTTCCCTCCTCGTATAAACTTGCCTGTAGCGACTCCCAATCCCCATCAATTGCCTTATTACGACTCTTCCATTAATTATCCGTCTCATCAGCAACATAATGGTTTTGATTCACAACACCATAATCGTTAAATATAGTTTTTGTCACTCAGAATATCATCACTTTTTTAGACTATAACGCTATATTCTAATGAAGGGTATTAGCACGAGCCAATTTTAACAAGTCCTTGTAATAAATTTTGTTAAAATTATTTTACTTGCTTCATTTACTAACTATAAAGGTGAAGAATTTATAAAACATATATTAGATTTAAAATACATTATAGATTGACACTCTATACCGTGTTTAGTTGTTAGGTATCTTTGAGAATTATTTTAAAAAAGTTATAATAGGTATATTAATTTAGGTGAACACTACTATAAAAGGTATTATTAATTGTAGGGAATTTATATTGCTTATAGACCAAGCCTTGACCTTTATTGCGTTTATATTCTTACAGTAAAGTTTATTAAACTTTCTACTTCTTGGAAGCCTGGTTGGCAACTCCCTCTATTTTTGCTTTAATTTCATTTTCGTTCCCCAGGTAAGTTCCTGTTAAGGGAGAGTACTTTTTATCTTCCACGGGGATGGGCAACAAATCTTCACCGAGATTATACACCAACGGAATACCAGTGGGTATGTTTAGATTAACAATGTCTTTCTCGGAAATGTTATCTAAATGTTTAACTAAAGCTCTTAAACTATTACCGTGAGCTGCTATAAAGATGCGTTTGTTAGCTTTTAAAGCAGGAACAATTTCGGTATTCCAAAAGGGCACCACTCGTTCTACACAATCTTTAAGACATTCTGTCATAGGAACTATTCCATCAATATTAGCATATTTTCTTTCAAAGGCATGGTTAAGTTCGGAATCCTCAGCCATAGCTGGTGGTGGTGTACCATAAGAACGTCTCCATTCCATAACCTGTTTTTCGCCGTGCTTTTCTACGCATTCCCTTTTATTTAAACCTTCAAGAGCTCCGTACATTCTTTCATTTAACTTCCAAGATCTAAATTGAGGTATCCAGAGTTGATCGCATACTTCCAGAACATAGTTGGCAGTGGTAATAGCTCTTTTGAGTAGGCTAGTATAACAAAGATCAAACTCGTAACCGTGCTCCTTTATCAGTTTGCCACCTTCAATAGCTTCTTGAACTCCTTTTTCCGAAAGCTTGCAGTCAACCCAGCCGGTAAAGCGATTTGAGAGATTCCACTCGCTTTCTCCGTGTCTCATAAAAACTATAGTATATACCATTTTCTACCTGAAATATTAGAAACCTACATATTTTTCAACATAAGTAGATCAATTTATTAGCTACTATTTTGGGAAATTTATATGCGTAAAATGCGATTGGGTATAAATTGGGTTTTCTATTTTGTAATAATTCCAAATTGTTTTGCTCCCTTAAGGCGGGCGTCAATTTTTGGTTTGGTGGGAAAGCTAACACAAGCGAGTGTCTATTTAATGCATTGCACTATTTATATTATATATCAAAATTACTTTATTGTTATTTTTTTTTAATAAACAATAGTGACTTCGGATTACGTAAAAACTTATTCATATTAAGTTTACAAGGTTTATGCCCACGGGTGGTGGTGTTAACATAAAATTCAGTAATTAAATATAAAATTGGATATATATATATATATATATTAATAGTTTTTAGATTTTTTTTACAGTTTTATGGAGCTTACGTATCCCTATAACACTATTTTTTTTTAAAGTTGTTGTAAACTCATCGTTTTAAAGGTTATAACCTGGTTGAAGAGATGTGAGCATTTGTATTTAACAATTTCCCTCCAATCCAACAGTAGAGAAGCGCTATTCTTAATTTTGTATTTTTTTACTTTTACGAGAAGTTCTAATATAACAAAATAATAACATTATTTTAAATTGTTCAATATTTTCCTAAGCTGTACTTGATTTCCTGTCAATCTTTTTTTTTTTACTTTATTTATATTAGGCAAACTTTGTTTCTAAGTTTATTTTAAACGTTTTTACAAAGTAAAAACTTTTGTTCTTGCGTGAAAGAAATTTATTGCGTGTTTTTAAATTATTTTTTGTTTTATTAATTTAACTTTTAATAAAGTTTAAGTTAATAAAGTTATGGGGACAAAACTTAGATTTTCAAAATATTAAAAAACTAATTTCTGTACAATAACATCTGAGTTTCGGTAGAAGTATATTATAAAAGATAGCACGCATCTTACACTACTAATTTTAGGATAAAATATAGAATAAATAGAAATATTTGCAAACTGAGATACCATAATTATTATTAAACTTTAAAAATAAAACGACTCAAGTTAATTAAATGTATCGTTTTTCGTTAGAAATGAGTATAAAAGAAAAGATAATTGTGAAGCAAAAAAAATTGATTTATTTAAAAAAATCTCACTGAACTGAAGGGTTATATTACAACACTCGTGTAATAAAATTTAAATAATTGATTTTATTTTTATTAAGTTTTATAAACAGCTGTCGAAAAGTTTAATCTTTAGCGTCAGTTAGTAATTTCTTTGACGTTTACGCAGTTGCCCTAAACACTAGTTTTTTAGATATAAATAATATTTCCGCATGTTTCCCTTTAACGCAAGAAAAGTTGACTAGTTACTCTAAATGTACATTCCAATTGAATTACTTTTTAATAATAAAAAACTTACAGTAAGGGGTATACACTTTTTTTCCAATTACTACAAAGCACTCAAAAATCTATTACCTAACACTATATATATTTTATTAAAGGAGTTAAATAAACGTTCTATTGTTAATATTTACCTTTGAACATTTATTAGCAACTAGCGCTCTAAACCATATTCTGTTGATTTTATTAACTGACTGAATTCGCTTTTTAAGTAGATCGCCCAAAGTTAATAATCTAACATATAAACGTAAAAGGATAATTATAAAAGTCGGAGTTAATTTTTTCGTTATTTAAGTCCGTTAAAATTTATTATATGTATTTCAAATTTATGGTAGGTTTTTATTAAGACTTTAGACTTTATTTTAGATATACATATTATCTCAAAAACAAAACAAACAAGTAAGAGGAAGACAAAAAAACCATTTATTCACTTATCTTACTACTATCTTATTCATGTTGTAATATTAACGTTAGTGTTAATGTACACGTGCCATTATAAAATCTTTGAGCGTCTAGTGGTTATTTTTTTAAAGTTTAAGGCTAGCTTTTTTTTAGTTGGGGTGGAAGATCTTTTAATATCTTGATAGGATTGAATTTGATGTAACTTCTTGATAAATCCAATTTGCAGATTAAATTTTTAGTACATAAATATTCATTCATTTATTCCTTTATCTTTAAACTTTTTGTATACTATGACCACGAATCATTAATGTAGCTCTCAATTTTTTTACAATTTTCCTGAAGTTGTAAAAGAAGTCAACCACAACAAATTTGTAACTAATTGGGGCATTTTTTTTAGTAAATTTCATTGGTTCTTTAACATTTGTGTGTTATTTTATACACTTTGCTTGTTAATGATGTGATTCCGCTAAGTACTCGTATCAAGAATAAAGCGTTAGTGAATTGATCACTGAAAAGGCCGTTTAATTTTACGGTTTTTTTTATAGCACAGGGTAAACTTTTTTCAGTTATATATTGCATGATATATTGCATGTGCATATAGAATGTCCAGGATTATGTTTAAACGTACATTAACTATAAGAATATAATGCAATTTTGGTAATGAAAGGTGGGAGGAGAGATTTTCTTCTCGCTTCAGTTTTGCATTTGTATGTTATTTTGTTTTTACTTTAGATCTCATTCTTTTAAGTTTATATGGTAAAAACTACAGTTAATAATGTTATCGTTATTAATTCTAGTCTATGGGGCTAGAACACAAAGATATATAGATCATCCATCGGGAGACTATATAAGTAATTAATCGTTTATTACAATTAGTAGTAATCATGTAGTTCTATAGAGGCTTAGTTTTATATGGATAAATTAATAAATATTGACAATATATATGTATGTAACACCCCGCTAGCTCCAAGGTAGTTGTTTAAGTATGAGTGCAAAAAGGTTAATAAACAGGTTTTAGTTTTTTTTCTCTATCAAAGCTTTTATATAAGCGCTACAGTTCGACAGATAAGCGTAACACTTGTAAACAAAGCGCAAATAGAGACAGTAAGTCCTTTTGGAGGATATCTAGTTTTCTCTTGCTTTTTATTTATTGGAAAGAAATTGGTGCCGTGTATGTTACCGGATGAATTGCTACGAAAATCTTATATAATTTTATAAGTTTATAAAAATTTGTTACTCGCTTATAAATTTATATTATCGCTTCCTACAGCCACTCCGTACATGGATGGCCGTGAAGATATTTGACCTTTTCTAGCGAAATGTTCACTGTTATATTCATTTAGTCAGTTATACAAGCTTTCAATTTCTCTTTTGAATAAGTAACGAAAACCACATAAATAAAATCACTTTATACTTTATAAAGTTTTTGTACCGAGTTTATGACCATGTTAGTACCTTTGCTGCTGTTTTTCATTTAGCAGTTTTTAAGTAGTAATGAGAGCCCTTTTTTTGGTTACAAGGTGTCCGGTTTTTGCTATTAATGCAAGACAAATAAGTAATTGGTAAATTACAGTAATACTGAGTAAAATTAATATTCTAAACTAAAGCTGCATAGCTTCAGGGAAATTTAATTTATTTTCTGTAACAGTGGAATTTGTAATAATCCAATTTAATTTTTATTTATAGAAGATAATACATACTATAAAAGAAAACAAAAGTATATACTTAAAATTGCGTTTTACTATTAAAATAAAAGTAGAATAAAACTTTTTTTGAAACTTCATAGGTAATTATGGACAAAATAATTTTTAATGTTTATGTGTATATTTTTTAAAAAGAAGGCACAATTACTATGTTTTTAAGTTTTTTAGTTTATGAATACACGTGCTGCTTATATTTTATGTACGCGAAATGACTAAAGTTTTTTAAGATCTAGAACTTATTCGCAATGAAATTTATGTGAAAAAACCCTAAAAGTTGATATAACTGGTTCTACAGGGTTTAAGGTTTACTTTTATTAGTAATACAGACATAATGGCGCTGTTTCTAACGTAATAATCATATTTTTCTTTAAGATTTATGCTGGTATTAACTTGCCAAACTTATTTATTTTGTTCCCAACCGGGTCTTAATATAAAGATAATTATATCTTGTAAGTCCCTGGATTTTTAAATCCCATCTATCAAGAGAAACAGCATGTTATTTATAAGTTTTGCACGTAAACTAAAAAATATGTTTAACTCTGTTTTTATTAAGTATCCACCACAATTTATCCTGCCTTCTTACTCGTTAATAAAATATAACATTTACGATATACTGCATGTTAAGATAAATTAGGAACTGCTCCTATAGATAAAAAAAATGCCTTATTACTCAGTAAAATAAATATCACAGTTAATTTTTTTAACTAATGAAAAAATTAAGCAACTGGGTTTTAAAGAAGGCCGTAGTAGCTCACATTCTTTATCACAAATTTTTTTAATAAAAATTCTTTTCCTTATATTTTTTATAGTAGAGTTCTCAAATAAAAAAGTAAGTAATGTTTGTCTATATTTAAAAATAAAACCTCGTAACTTTCTTTTAATTAAACGAAGCACCAAGAAAAACAATAAAGGAATTCTAAAACTTTATTTGATTGATTAGCCATTGGTTATGAAATTTTATAGCAGGTGACTTTTGATAGGTGAACTATTATAGTACTGAACAGAAGGGGGGCGCCTCCCACGTCTAATTATAATTGTTTAAAATTTTTTTCTATCTATTACTATCTCGGTACGGGTGTACCCGAAATATTTAAGCATCTGTTTAAATATATATTTATACTTATTTTTTAAATATAAATTTTTTTGTTATTCAGTTTAGTACATATTTATATTAAGCTTTAATGAATTTAACAAAAGTAGTGAGATATTATACGACATTAAGCATAGCTGCTGTCGCTTACGTTTTTTCCTGTGCTTATGACGCTCATATCGTTACTCTCCGCCATAAAATATTCGTTGGCCAGTTTATATATTTTGTAACTAATCGAAAAGATTTCTTCTTATTCTTTTTCAACATGTTCCTGGTTTCCTTTTTCTGGTTTGGTGAGTTACTTCTCCGGATTCTCTATTTCTTCACCAACTCAGCTTTTGTTTTATGTGTTTTTACTAGGTAAACTAATTCAGGTTAGTGTATTTGGAAAGTTAAGAGATATTGAAAGCCAAAATTTAGGTTTTTTTTTCCCTTTTGTAGATGGTTAATGTTATTTTTTTCATTTTTAATACACTTTAGGCGATAGACTTGCAAAATTTGCTATGTCTAAACTTATATTTATCTCGTTATTTCTTGAGCCCAATATATATGAAAATGCTATATGGATAACTTGGTTTACTTTACTGGGTTTTTTACGGACTTTTGCGATGCTTTGCAAAGACCGTTTTGAATTCGTACTTTATAAAAATACTTGACCATTTAATTTGAGTTCCTATAAAAAAAATATTTATTTTAAATAGTTAATGTACGTTCCTTCTGCATCTTCACTGGTTCATGTTCGGATTTTTGGCCTTCTTATGATCATTTTATCGTTCATCTGCGGATTAATAATCGGCACTTCTCTTGTAACTTATAAAATAGGCGGCTTGTCCATCATCTTTCTTCTTAATTTTGAAGTACTTTATGATTTAAATTAAAATTTATTCATTATTTAATAATTCCTTCAAAGTCCATAACTTTACTTTTAGATTGTATTCAAACAGCAATAAAGTATAGTCTTCACTTATCCGAACTTTCTTTACGGGAATTTAATTTTTTGGAAAATAAAGAATCCGTTTTGTACAACATTGAATTTTATACTGAAACTTTTATTGATATCTTGACTTTACTTCACTATTTTCATATTTTGGTATCACGCAGTAAATTTTTTTTATTTATAAATTAATTTCTATAAATGTTATAAAGATAATTCATGGGCTCCAATTTTCGCTCATCGACTTCATTTTAGCAATTAATATTCGATCAGTTTATTATTCTTTGAAAAAGAAAATTGGGCGCTATCGAGATTACAGATTAATTTCAAGGTAACTTTTTTTAATTTTATTAAGATAATAAATCTCTAATTAATTTTGTGTTTAGATTAATATTTTTATACACAAAGTAGTAAAGTTAAACCTAATTTTTGAATTTAATTTTATATAGAAAAGTATTTTTATTTAGTTGATTTAAAAAATGGTTTGTAGTGAAGAAAAATTTAATATGTATATTAATAATTTTTAGTCTATTTTGATTTTGACTTGGTAGAGATTTACTGGAATAAAAACTTTTTTTTTTAATATATGAAAAGTTGTACACTATTTTTTCTTCTTAAGTTAATGTTAAGTATAATAATATAATAGTTATTTAGATTCTTTAATTTTGATAAATTTAATAAAACTTAAGTTTTAACAATTACTTGGTTGCAATGTATTGTTCATTTATAAATTATACTATACTTTTTTTACTATAAAAATTTCTTTTAACACACTTATGATTACTAAGTTTATAAAAAAAACCTTAAATTTGATCAAAAAATATAATAAACTAAGTATAGATAATTTAGTAAATAAGTTTTATATAGCACTTCACGGTTTTTAATTTACTTCAAAATTTTAAAAAAATTTAATTTTTTTTTACTAGTTTATCTTAATTATTATTATTATTATTATTAATTTAGTTAATAATATAAATTAAACGAGCACTTAACTTCTTGACAAAGTATTAACTAGTATATAAAATTATTTATAAAATAAATTTTTACTTAACACGTTTGCTTTTTTTTTAAGTTTAAATATATTTTGAAAAAAAATTTTAAAAATTTATTTTGAATTATAATTATAATAACTAATTTTTCTTACATCGCACAAATAAATGTTTTAGTAATTAAACTTTTAATACTTTTTTAAAAAACTTGTTATTATATTTTAATCTTAAAAAAAAGTTTATGATTAATTTTTTCAAATTTAAATCTATAATTTATCGACATATTTTGTTTAGTAATTTTTAAATTATAATTTTAATGTTAAATTTTTTAAATTAATAACCTTGAAAAGTTTTTTGTTAGTATAAATTAATTAATAATTTTTTTTGGAAGTTTTCATCTTTTTGATGAGAAATTTATTAATTTTAACTGTTCAAAATTATTTAACAAATTTTAGTTAAATTAATAAAAAAATTTGTTATTTATAATAATTTAAGAGTAAAGTTTTTATGTTTTATTTATTATAATTTAAATTTCTATTTATAAATTTTAACTTTTTGTTGAGAAATTTATTATTATATTATTTAGATTTAATGCTTAAAATTTTATTTATTCATAAAAAATTTTTAATTTAAATTTTTATGTTTTTTTGTTTTGTAATTTATTCAAAAATACTATTTAAATTCAAAATAGTTAAATTTTTTTATTTTTATTATAATAAAGTTTATTATTATTTTTGAATGTAATTTTTTTTATTTCTAGTAAATTTATTAACTTTTTGTTGAGAAATTTATTTTATTTAATTATTTACTTTGGCAAGGAATTTTTTTTAAAAAGATAACAAAACTTCTTATTATAGTGGTTTTTACGTTATATTTATTATTTACAACAATTTTTTGTTTAGTAATTATATATAAACTGTTTTTAAAAGATTTCTATAATTATTTTTTAAATTTTATAATTTTTCGAATTATATAATCTGAAAAATTAGTTAATAAATTTATATAATTTTTTTTAAAGATTTTATTGTATATATTTTGTATATAATATATTTTTAATTTTGAATATTTCTTTAAATCAGTATTTAGTAATATAAAAGTTATTGAATTTTTTTTACAATTTTTAACTTTTTTAATTATAATTCTTTTTATTTTGAATTTAATTGTAATTTTTTAAAATAAATTTCGAAACCAAATTTTAATAATTTTAACTTTTTTATTTATTTAACTTTTTAATTTTTATTTAAATTTATTTGTATAGAAAAGTTAAAAATACAATTTGATTTAATTGATTTATTAATTTTATAAATAAAAGTAAATAATTATTTCAGTTTATTTTAATTTACACCCAAATTAAAATTTAATGTTAATATAAATTTTATTAGCATTATTTTTTTAATAATCCCTTTAAATTAATTTAATTACCACTAAGTAATAGTTAACCTTAATTATTTTTAAAATAATTTATGAAATCTAATATTAAATAACATCAATTTCGTAACTTTTTAGAGATTTAGAAATGAAGTACGAATCTGCTACTCCACAGGAACTCGTGGATTATAACGATCACTGTGCCATCTGCAGAGAGCTTATGAAATCAGCTAAAAAAATGCCGTGCGGCCATCTTTTTCACGTGTATATTTTCTAAAAATTTTACTAATTTATATAATTGTATTAAATTTTAATAATAATTTTTACTGTTTATATTAATCATTTTGGGTTAAGTTTAAAAATTTATTATAATTTTTCTATAGGTTTAATAAAAATTATTTATGAAAATTTTTAAAGTTGGAATTAAAATTAATAATATTTAATTTAATTTATTCCTTCTTTAAAAATAAAGTTCTTGCCTGCGCTCGTGGCTTCATCATCACAATTCTTGTCCCACTTGTCGAAGATCCCTTTTGAAATCCTCGACTGCACAGATTTCTCCTAATTTTGATCAAAGCAATCAATTTAATTATAATAATAATAATAGCAGTAATAATAATATAGATAATAATAATCTTAACGCCGCCACGATGACGGGGCCTCGAAATTCTGTATTTCGATTTAATGGTTTTTATAAATTCTAAATTTCTTTTTTTGTAAAATATTTTTTTTATAAATATTTTTTTAAAATATTTTAATTAAAATTGAATATTTTTATTTGTTTTAATTTTTTATCAAATTAGGTCGTCGGTGGGCCACTTGGCTGCCTTCATTTTCGGTTGAATTTAGAGCACAGCACTTGCCAAGATTAGGCCAAGTAAATTCTAATCGTCAACTGGTAGCGATTTTATATAATTAAATTTAATATATATTTAAAAAAAATTTAGATTTTTTTTTTGTTTATAATTAATTTAACTTTCTTGTATCAATTTTTTTACTATTTTTTCCTAAAGTAATTTTAAATTATTTTTTAATTTAGTTTTACTTTGATTATTCATTTTTTGGGGGGGATTAATTTTTTTATGCTTATTTTTTAAAATAATCTTTAAAGAAATAATTACAAATAAACTTAACGAACTTTTATTTGTTTAAATTTTTTCTAATTTTTTTTGTTACCTTTAGTTTTTTTAAAATTTCGTTTTTGAGTTTATTGAATTTTTATAACTTTAATTTTTTTTTTTCATTTTTTTGATTTATAATTTTTTTGCTACAGATTCAACATCTTTCTTTTGTTTTTGGAGTTTCTGAAAATCTTATTGAATCTGATCTTCAGCAAACCGGCTCGATCGAGCAAACCACCGATAATTTAGCGGAAGGTCGTCTCGTGCGTCGCGAGGGTTCCTCTGGATCTCCACCCGACCCGCCGCCTGCCCCCACTCCAGCAGGGGCCTCAGCATCTTCAGCAGTTAGTATTGACCAGCGCGCTACTCTGCAACAGTTATCGGAGATTTTCAGAATTCCGATGCATATAGTAGAAGAAGATTTCCGACTCACAAATTCTATTGAAGAAACTACTGAAAATCTCTTGGCCGGTCGTTATAATAGTTCACAAGAATTCATCAATGATTCTAATATTAATAATAGTAGTAGTAATAATAATAGTAATAATAGTAATAATCACACTTCTAAAGATTCAAGTAACGCTTTCATTGAGGGCAGTCAAGACGATTCGACTCGCACCATTACCTCCGATGAAAAATTTCCCGCCAACTCTTCTATTTTACGGGAATTAAGCGCTTCGTACCCGAAAAATCTCAAGCACAGTGAATTACTTATAAAAGAACGCGAAGATTTAGTTGAACGTTCGAGAAAGTAAAGCATTTTTAATTTATTATACTGATAATTATTTATGACTTAATGGATTTATATCCAGGCGATACCTTTTAAGAAAAGAAGACTAGAAAAGTTATTTTTTTTTTAATTGTTTCTTTTTCAAGAAACGGTTTATGCTGCATATAATAATTTCCCTTGAATTAAAATTAAAAGAAATCACTTTAAAAACTGATGTTTTTTATTTAAATTTATATATTTAAAAATTTAAAGTTTGGTTAGCTGTTATATTTTTAATTAAACAAGCCAGACTTATGCATGACTTGCCCTGTTGCGCTTATATTATTGAAAGCAGGCGTGCTAAACTGTAGAAAAAGTTTGTATTGAAAAGGAATAAACTGTGCAATTTATAAATAAATTCTATTCATAATAATGAAATAGCACGACTAGAAAAGTCTTAGTGTATTTTTAAATTCCATTATCCACAGCTTGAACGCTATTAAGTGAAACTATTACTTAGACTCAATCACATCTTTGTTTACAAATTAAAAATGGATCTTAATTATTATAGCTGCTTGCAAACGATTTGTCGCAAAAATCCTGAAAAATTTAATTAAAGGTTTATCGGGGAGTAGCTTATTTATTTATCAATGGCGTTTCCTGGCATCCTGAAGGAGTTAACAACTTCGAATTACCGAGCTATGAAAGGGCGCGTCGCCACAAGTACAAGTTACCATTTTATACTAAAGTTGTTCAAGTGACCTTCGCAGTTGATTTAAATATTTAACTTTAGCATTTAACCAACACGCTGAGAGTACAAAATACGAAACATGCAAGTGAGTTCTTCCGCTAGAAGGCGATTAGCATGAGTCCGGTTATCCGTTTAGTAAGAGCGACAGCAGTGCTTATGGAGAAGGTCAGCGGTTTTTTGTTATTCGCGGTGGTGTATGATTGCGTACTGGCCAAGATGCAATGGGTAAACGTGTTATTTCTTTCTTTTCTCGGCGATAAAACTGTATAGTAAATGACATATAAGTACAACTACACACAAGACCCAGCCAGTACACAGCGGGTAACTTAAAACAGTAAGAGAGAGAGAAGAGAAGGGTAAAAGGCCCACTCTTCCATTTATTTGCCCTAACCCTACATCCTCATTACCCTGTAGTTACAAACTTCGCAACAATTTTATTTGTCGTACTTGAGGTGAGGATGGTAGTGCTGACCCAAGCAGCAGTTAGGTGTTTTTTAAAGTTGGCCGTTGTTGCGCAATAAAGTGTATAGGCGCTTGAGTCTTGTAAATAAATGGAACAAAAAGGGGAGAGAAGAGGAGAATGAACAACTACCTCTCACGTGGTTTGTTCGCTATTTTCAATTTATACC